GACCTTGGGACCGTGGACCGTTGACTTACAGACGGTCCTCGATCCACTCCTGATTGGCCGATACTGGACCGTGACACTTGCTCGCAGGCCGCACTTCACGCAGGACAAAGAAAAGGCACTATGGGCTTGCAGGCTATATAATAAGCACCGGATTGGCCTAATCAGAGGGCCAGAATTGCCTGCACGCGTGCAAGGCACAAAATTTGAAGAAGTAGAAGTCGATGTCTTGTCTAAAATAGAATGTGAGAAGCAGATAGCTTATATACATAACCCCTGAACCCCCCGAATCCTCCGAGAGCCCCACTTCCTTATTCATACCCTTAGGCTTGTGGCCGCACCCCAAGCCAACAGGTGGTCAAAGCTCGGTCGGCTGGAATCAAAAGCCCTGCCCTGCAAGCCTTTGTCGATATTTTCCTTCTTTTCTTCTTCAACTTGCAATTCAATCAATTGGTCTAAGCAATACTGTTTGCTTTGTTTCAGTGTTCTGCCTTACCTACTGTGACAAAGAGGATGTTACTAAAGGGAGTATAGAAAAGGGTCTCTTTTTGCTTAGTTTTGGGGGGGTCTACTGTTTAGATAACCATAACTGGCTCCACAAGGAGCTTGGGCCAACCTGGGCTAGGTTGTTTAGGTTTGCAGGATTTCTAACAACACTTTTACTGTGGTGCAGGGGTAAGTTTTGCCTTCTTGTCAAGTACTCGCGCTAGTCAAGGTCCACCCTGACGATTGTATTCTACAAAATAATCACCATATCTATAGCTAGTATTTTGTATGCATACCATTCGCTGCAATTACTGCCTCACACCGACTGGGCATCGAATCCAACAGCGTTTGAAGGTAAGATTCCGGAAGCTCTTGCCAGGCCTCCTCCACGTACCTCTTCAACTTCGCGTACGACGGCTTCTCCTCAAGGCCGTATTTATCCTCAATATAATCCTTCATCCAATTCCAACAGGATTTAATAGGGTTTAAATCTGGGGAAAAAGGAGGCCAATTAACTACTTTAATCTTCCTATTCTCAAGATCCTTCTTCGTACCGGCCGCTCGATGGCCAGGTGCGCCGTCCTGCATAAAAGAAAGCTGTAAATGGTGTTGCTCGAAGGTATCGTTAATAAATTCGTGGACGTTAGGAAGGATATTCTTTCGGTAAGAATACTTATTGATCGATCCCCATTCCTTTTCCCAGAAGATACTAGGGCCTTTAGTTGAGCCGTAAAAGTAGCCCCAGAATATCTACCCTCCTTTTCTCTGGTGCTTTTCAACGATATAAGTAGGGTCCCATTCCTCGTCGATTCGGCGTGTAATATACTGCTTACGGTGAGGACCACTAACTACCTAGGTTTCGTTACTCCAAAGGATTGTACGCTATTGTTCGAGAGTCCAGTCTTTATGTTCTATAGCCCAGGCCAGTCGCTTTTGCTGGTTGGCTTCTGAAATAGGAGGCTTCTTCCGAGTAACTCGACGGCGAAATCCGTGGCGGTAAAGGGCGTTGCGAATCGTAATCCAGTTAAGAAGGGAGTTGAAAAGGGCAATAGAAAGCTCCAGGAAGCTCATCCGACGGTGTGCCTTTGATTCACACACATACCGAATAAGCTCGAGCTCTTGATCGGCCGTAATAACGCGTGGTCGGCCAGATCGTGGGGCGACCTCGGCCGCCGGGGCTCGTATCGCATGGCGGATTTGGTATTTCGTATAACCAGTGGTTTCTTGAATTCGGGGTTGGCTAAGGTGGCCGTCGAAATAAAGGGTACGAATTCGTTGACGCTCTTCAGTAGTAAGGTGGCGATTGGGAGCCATTGTGGTGCTGGCTGGCTGGCTAAGTGGTGTTGAAAGGTGGAAAATACTGGTCTGGAGGAAATTGCGGTAGAATTTTGGCCGAAGTTGGCCTAGCCAAAAAAACAAGGCCCTGGGCGGTACTTGACAAGGGGGCAAAACTTTTGTACGTAACCACAGTATACTAACACAAGAGACTATTTGCGAAAAGCGGGGGAATGGGTTTCAGTCTCTCGTACAGAGGATCTTTTGGTCTGCACCAATCCGTCAATAACGCGCTAAAAATAAGGAGAAATGATGGAAATGTCTGACTCACTTCTTTGGAGTATTTTACATATCTTTAGCCAAATCCCTCTTGAACCATATTTTAATCTCAGGTTATCCATCTTACCATATAACCATATAAAAAAGATCGTACTTATAAGCAGTTATGTGACGAACCCCTGTACAGAACCTCTGAAAGGGATACGGGTTGAAGGTAACTTCTGACAATTGGTTCGGTGCAGCTAAACAGTGCACAACAAGATGTCTCGATGTAAACACAAGATGCCGTGAATACAAGCTTGAATTGCATACTGCGGAACTGTCTATCTACACCAGCCAGTTCCTCCGTATATATAGTCCTTGTGCCAAGCCGTGATCAGTCTCCCAAGGCCACTGATCACCTCGGCTCAGTCTGCTTAGTGCCCTGATCACACTGATCACCTCTGCTTAGTCTGCTCAGTGCCCTGATCACACTGATCACTCTGCCTTCACTGTGATTGGCTCCCCTTATTCCCGTGGCCCCACAACCGTCCTATACCAGGGTTGTAACAAGTTAGTATATATCCTATCTGTTTATTATATAAGTAAACTGACCTTGTACGTCGCTTTATATATTTCCTTTAACCTCGCACTGGTGTAAGCATGTAAGTTTAACAGCGTGCTTTGGTCTACTCGGCTCCCTTCATGTACATAATTATGGTGGTTAAACAACCAGAGATGCTTTTCTATAGCTGTGTAGTTTTCTATCGTCAAGTTTGTCGGTGCTTTTTCCTCTACCGACAGAGGAATTTTATACCTGAGCACATATTGAATATACTTTATTATATTAGATGGCGGAAATATAAAATGAGCTATTTTTTTATACTTATATAGCACACGCTATCGTTGACGGTTTGGGAATGGATTTATTAGTTATTCTTTCCTATTGCAATATGAATCTTCGCATTTTGACTCGTATGGACTTTAGTGTTGGCCTTTCCAGATACTTATCTAACCGCCACTTGGTTGACCGTGAGACGGTCTCGGTGAAATGCTTCACTGTTTTCATGTCGCACGGGTCTGATGCTTCGAGTTTTTGCTGCGTACCTGATTTATGTTAGCACTAAATTCAACACAGCGATCTCCACAACATATGCTTCCCAGATCTTCATCATCCAGACATACCGCGGCTCAGTGGTATCACTAAGCTTTCTGCGGACGGGTTTATCGTCAATCTCAGATTTTTCCTCAGTGAGCCCATCCTGCAACGCCGCTTTAATCAGATCGTTCGGGTCTGTCGCCTTCCTCCCTCCTCGATTCTGAATCCCTTGGTCGGCTTCTGCTCTCCTAGTGTGGAGTTGGAAGGTGTAGACGGTGGAATATGATAACTGCTGAGCTTAGTTGGGTTTTGGGAACTTAAAAAGGACATCAATAAATATTGGGCTTTTGCTCCTACCTTTTCGCTCATTCTTGCCTGGTGATAAGTGACCCGTACACTAGCTTTCTTGGTAGCTCGGCCACCTTTGCTAGATTTGCTGCTTGCGTTCATTTTGAGCGATCATTTGGGAAGTTCAAAATGTGTAGATAGATAGAGTAGAAGGATATGAGACGCCCCTCTGAGTTCTTAGACAATGACAGAAGATAAAAACGTAGAGGGGAATTGTAGAGAGTGGGAGGAGTAAGGAAAAAAAAGAGATCTGAAGAGAAATGCTGGCCATTTATAGATACGTAGCCTAGGTAGACAAGACAATGGGTAGATACAGCCTCCTCTCGACCTTCCTCATGCCGTTTTCACAAGCGTACAGTATACGGTTTCAGGTGGCAACGGAGATTACCCTCGCTGGGTTGGGTTTGGGACACCGGCCAACATCCCCTACAGGCAGGTAGATATGCAGACGGAAAATGTCTTGATTACTTGCAAGAGTCCTACATCCGCACTCAGGTCTAGCGCTAAGAATATAGCCATTGTTGCATATATTCTCGGCCCCCTGAGACCAGTGATGGGAACACACACTGGCCCTGCGGTCGTAGTTTGCAATGCCCACCCCTTTGCTATTTAAATGAAGCAGGTTTTTTCATTTTGTAGACTAGCTCCGCACTAACTACATCAAGGAGTGTTTCTGGCATCCTCAATACCTGCAGGGTCGAACGACTCCAAAACCGGCTCCAGCCAGCGGCTCGAATTATAGATATTAGACGAACACATAATTTTCATTTTGTAGACTGCTCCGCATACTAGCTACATCAAGAAGCTGTTTTCGGCTCTGGCAAAGGCCCTTGTCATAACCTTCAATATCCTGAGTCGAACGACTCCAAAAACGGCTTCAGTGTTTCTACCTCACCGCTCCAGCATCTAATTCTCCTTACAGCAGTGTAAAGGCAAGACGTAGCTTACAATCTGCATATTGGTAGAGACATTCAAGTTAAGATGAGCTAGCACATGTTTGATGTTGAGTAAGGAGGAGGTCAGGCTGCTAGGCACAAATTGACAATTCTTGAGAGCGCACTTTCGGAGGAGGGTGAGCAAATTCTGAGCAATACATGAGCAAGGTGAGCAGACCCTGAGCAGTCCCTGAGCAAGGTGAGCAGACTGGAGTCGCAGATGAGCCGGTCCTGAGCTCCGCCTAATTTAGTTTGGATAAAGCGGCGAGAAGTCACGTGGCAAATTATGAACACATTCCGGTATTGTTACAGGTATGACGAAGCGAGTCGAGGGTAACAACTTGCTGCATCGCATTTATAATCATGGTCTTGCATCCGGAACTAACTGCAATGAAGATGATAAGGCCGAGTCAACAGAGATTGAATGATTGTCAATGCTGTCAGACTCTGCGCTGTCGGGGTTGAAAAGCTTGATGGTGGTGGATAAAGACCTTGTGCTTCGACCAAGTGGGTGTATTGCTTTGTAATGCAACATCAAAGAAGTTAACCAACACCACACAATGTTTTCCCGCTGGGCATAAAACCTTCATCGGAAATGCAATACCCGAACACCGGGCCGGAACCCGTCATTCGAGTCGGAGGCGGTAGGACAAATGTAACCTCCTGCACGATGCCGACTATCAGCACTTTCTTCTCCTCCTGTCAAGAGTTAGAAGTGGGTGATGTGGCATCTCACAGCATTGGCCAAACCCTACCTCTCTTACAGAGCCACCATCGCTTTTGACTGGCCGCCACCCGCCTCAGCTCGTCCCTACCCTCAACTCAGCTGTCCCTCGATGTCGATAGCTTCCACTTTCAGACAGATGCGCACAACATCCTCGACACGGCTTGCATGGACTGCCATTTCACACCATGACAACGAATTAAAGATGAACAAAGGCGCGTCAACCGCAAACGATAACGCCACGCTCTTCATGCACAGTCAAGCCAGAAGGATCATCATGGCATAGCTTTATCAGTAGTGATTCGCTCTAGACGCAGCTGGAAGGCGCTGCAAATTCCGGCCGATTATCGCCAAAATGAGGGGTTGACGGATGGCTGGGCTACATCAGGCCCTACTTGCCTGCACTTAAGTGAGGGTGGAATCCTCATGGTAGACAGAAGAACGACCCGGACAACTCTCATCTTGACTCTTACAAGATGGGTTTCCTCAAAACATGTCTCGACTTCCTCAGCCATGCTGCTTTCACCTCGTTTTCTCCTTTCGACGCCCTCTTTTCACCTCAACAGCCTCTGTTCGTTCCTACTCCCCCCGCGACATACAGCGCGGCCGACTTTGCAGGCGCCTACAGTCCACGGATCGATCCAGTTAGAGACTGTGTCTATCCCGCTCTCAGATACAATGGGTACAAGCCATGCAATAATGTCTCCAGGACATGCTGGCAGAGACGTGTAAAGTTCAAAGACTACGACATCAATGATGATTGTATATCTTCCACATCAAGCCCCTTGTTGACACTGCAATTGCTCATGATTGTACAGACGAAGTTACAACCCCTTTTGGCATAACACGAGAGGCAAGTTGATATCTTGTGTTCTGCATTGGCCATGATATAATTGCTAACGTGCTCAATAGTACTGGCTCACCGTCGACCAAGCTGACCTTAGGCCCGATGGTCAACCCAAGATCAACAGAGTAGCTCTGAACGGCACCTATCCAGGGCCCATCATTGAGGCCTGCTGGGGTGATAAGATTGTCGTCCATGTCAGAAACAAGTATCGCGACAATGGGACTACCATCCACTGGCACGGCCTCCGTCAGCTTTACAGCAACGACATGGACGGCGTCAACGGTGTCACTCAATGTCCAATCGCGTATGGCGAGGAATACACGTACGAGTTCCGAGCGAGGCAGTACGGACATACCTGGTATCACTCACATTATTCTCTTCAATATCCCGACGGCGTGGCTGGTCCACTCATTATTCACGGCCCAACTAGTGCCGAGTGGGATATTGACAATGGTCCCATCATGGTCGCTGACTGGCTCTACAACACTTCGTTTGCCGCCTTCAACTGTGAGGCCTACGACTGCGGCAACGAGACCCCTCCCAAGGCCGATAACATTGTCGTTAACGGCATCGGAGCCTTCAAACAATCCAATGGAAGATGGACGAACAACTACTTCAAGACCATGTTTAAACCAGGCAAAAAGCATCTGCTCAGACTGATCAACGGATCTGCTGCATCAAGCTTTGTTTTTTCCATCGACAACCACACCATGACTGTGATAGCCAGTGACTTGGTCGCCATCAAGCCTTACACCACAACCTCTCTTTTGCTGGGCATTGGTGCGTACCTAACCTCCTCCTTGACCAGACAACTACTAACCTTCTCCCAGGTCAGCGCTACACCGTCGTGGTAGAAGCCAACCAAGAGCCCAGCCTCTACTGGATGCGCACCACCCCCGCAGCCGGCTGCAGCGCCTTCCGCAAGAACCAAAAAGGCGAGTTCACCCAGGTCAAAGAAACAACCTCCTTCATCGCCTACGAAGGCGCCCCCAAGCTCCCCTACCCCGACTCAACCTCGGTCAAGCACAAAGGCGTAAACGACACCTGCATCGACGAATCCCACATCAGCCAAGACCGCCTCATCCCCATCGTCCCCTGGGAGGTGTCCGCCAAACCCAGCAACGACGTCTCCCATGGGTCATTCACGGCCGGGTATGAAAAGAACGCCAACCCGGATTTATACCCCCAACTGCCCTTCAAACACTGGCTCCTAGCCAACGGCCCGACTTCCCAACCACTCTGGGTGAATTTCAGTATGCCGACCATCCTCGACCCGTTTACCAACCCGCCGTTTTCTTCTATCACCAGATGTAAGTCCCGCTTTTCCCCTACCAAATTTGAACACCCGTTTCCCTCACCCAACCCAACCAACCTAGCTGACACTTGTCAAAGTCGAACAATCCTACGGCTTCGTCTACCTAATCGTAGACGGCTCCTTCCTCTTCAACCCAGACCCCAACTTCACCGCCATCCCCACCGGGCACCCCATCCACCTCCACGGCTCTGATTTTGTAATCCTCAACCAGGACTGGAAACCTTACGATCCAGTCAACTCTCCCAGGGACTTTAAATTCGATAACCCTGCCAGACGGGATACAGCGCTGTTGCCCAGTGGCGGGTATCTTGCTCTGGCGTTTAAGCCGGATAATCCGGGGGCGTGGTTGATGCATTGCCATATTGCTTGGCATGCTAGTTCTGGTCAGTTAACCCCCCTTCTGTTTTTTTTGTTTTTTTTGTTTTTGTTTGAGGCTGACAAAAAAACAGGGCTGGCACTGCAGCTTGTGGTCAGGCCGAGGGAGATACCCGATTACAACGGGGATTTGCTGCCCGTGCAGTTGGGGTGTGAGAGCTGGAGGAGGTGGGACAACAGGGATCCGATCGTGCAGACCGATTCTGGGATTTGATTTTTCCGATGATGGGACAAAGGTGAGTGAAAAAGGTGAGTTTCAACAACAACCTGGTTAAATATAAAAGTCATCGTGATGATGGATGACTGTATGCAAGTATCCATCTTTTCAAGGTTTATTATGTACGACACACAAGGTACTATTTACAATAAATCTCTCTCTTCCCCTCCTCATCCCCCCTGATCATCCTCTCCCTCAACAACAACAACCCCCTTACAAGCACTGAGAATACCACTGGTTCTGCGCCCGGCAAGTCGACCCCGAAGCGCAAACAGTGCACCCGCTCCACCCCTGACCACCGCACTGTCCCCACTTCTGAACACTGCAGCCGCCACCATTCCCAGGGTTGGGCACAGGAGTAGGCTGCACAGGAGTCTGAGTACTACCGCCGCCGTTGCCAGGATTAGGGTTGGAAGCCCCAGGCTGAGGCCCGGTAATCTCCACATTCCCAGGCAAACGATCAAACGGCCCGTCAATGTTCTCGGCCACCTTCTGGTTCTGTCTGCACTGGTTACCAGTAGCAATGCTCTGCGTCTTGAGCTGAGGGCAGTAAAAGTCGCAGTTGGCATCCATGGCACGCTGGAGGGAGTCGCCCTTCCACCCAAAGACGTAATCGCCGTGGGTGCCGTAGCCGGTGTAGTCGCCGTACGACCAGACAAACGGCTGGGAGCCGTCCTCGGGCCAGAGGCTGCGGTCGTTGAAGCGGCGGGTGTCCCAGAGGACCTCGTAAAATAGCTGGGGGATGCGGACGGGGTGGGAGGCGGGGCAGGGGCCGCCTGACTCAAAGGTCCCGCTGCTGGGGTAGGCGACGTGGGAGGAGTGATCGGGGGGGTCGAGAGTCTTGCCGTCCCAGCAGGTGGGGAAGCGGACGTTGGACATGATGCCCTCTCTGCAGGGCTGCTTGGGCATCTCGGTGGTCTCGCCGGTGCGGGTCGAGAGGGTCTCGAGGCAGGTGAAGGTCATCTGGCGGTAGCGAGACGCCTCGGCCTGGGTGCGGTACATGGGGTTACCGACAATCATGCGGAAGCCGGGCTGGAAGGCGGTGGGCTTGTGGTTTTGATAGGTGGCCGTGTAGTAGACGGTCATACCGCCGCCACGGGCACCGTCAAAGTCAATGTTGGGCCGCTGCGGGACCCGGATCAAGGTGCCGTTGCGGGCACGGAAGTAAAGGATGGCCGTCCAGTAGTTGGAGAAATCCTCAGAGAAGGTGCAGGTTGTGCAGGTGGCCTCCTCGCCAATGTTGTGTCTGTTGGGGTCCATGGTCACGTTGAACATGTTGCCACCGACGATCTGGTGGACGTGAGGAGACTGCATAGCACCTGGGAAGACGAGGCTGTCATGACCTGTTAGCACTCAACCTGCTCATGGCTGGTCCGAAAAAAGACATACGGATCGAGACGCTCGGTCACAAGCTCTGAGCACGAGAATCGAAGGACGGCATGGACGCTCGGGGCGCCAGCCAACGCCACGGCGGCGGCGAGGACGTTGCGGGAGTGCATCTTGATCGTGAGATTCGGTATACCCAACTCTATGAAGTGAGATATCCTGCTGGCTCCTTGACGACTGACTACCCGAGACCTTTCACCTCTGGAAGGGCGATCAGCCATCTTTTATCCTCTTCTGACCCCCGTGGATCTTCCAGATCAACCCCATGCTTCTCGGCCATCTGGTTCTGTCCGCAGCTATCTCTCTTCGAGAGCTACCATGCCTGTGTCGTTTGGTTCTGGTCCATTGTCACGGCGTGGCGTCCAGCATAACGTGACAACGAACAATGGAAGCATCCGTGCTTCGGCGAGAACCCGAACTAGCATTGGCCATGGAACAAAAGAAGCCGAGATTTAGTAACTCTGTGGGGTTTGATGGCTTTCGGCTGAATTACAGTGTCGCAGGCAAGACATTAGCCGTCCTATGCCCAACAACAAGAGACAGTGGGAGGCTCACAGGTGAGAATCTTCTTTGGAACCCCAAGCCCTGCCACGCTCGGGCGAAAACCAGCAAAATGCGGGGAACAGGGACAAGGCTCCCCAGAACGGGATCCGGGGACGGGGTGGGTTCGACCAAGTTTTCCACGTGCCTCCCCGCAGCCCGCATGGCGACTACCGTACTTTACAGCCCTAAAAGCGGTAGCGATTCTCGTCAAGGTTGTATTACGCCAAGGTTCCACCAACCCGGTCTGGTCTGATTCGGCATAAGACGGCGTATGCCTTCCGCATTGGGCCCGGAGTACCCCTTCCCGTTCACCTTGACACTGCTGCGTACAACACAGTTCCTGTGGGCCTTTCCTAACGGTCGACGGCGTGCGAGTCGGTGACAGCTCCAATTTCCCGAATCACGAGTTGGGAGAGCCGCGCTAGAGTGGTGTTGTCGACTGAGGTTTGGTATCATCGCGGGATGGGAGTGAGGTATTGCTGCCCATGATGTCCAGTTCAAATTCAGGCTCATTGTCCATGGCAACCTCAAGAGGCAACTGTATCACTAGCCACCCGCCTTGGCCAGCTACAATAGTAACTCTATTGTTGAAGTAGAACATTTCTCGAAGGCGACTGGTGAGCGAGAATGCAGGCTCACAAGCAGCTCGCACGAGGGGCGTCACCCGACAACGTGTGCATGAGACTGGGGATGGGGATAAATTCAAAGTACCGACTTTGCGGCTCCGTGACAGACTTGTTCAACACACGTTGTTGTTTCCCGTTGGCCATGTGACGATATATTCAGTCTGCGGACGCTTACACAGCTGCGCCAACGTTGTAGCATCCTATCAGACTTTCTTGCAATGAACCTTGGCAGAAGAGGCAAACCGGGCTATAGAGAAGATGAGGATGCTGCGGTCATTTGCACATATTGCCTCGATATGAGGCGTTCCTGCAGAGAACAACCAATTCCTTTCTAGAACCTCGCCCTGACCTGGCGGGTGGGACCTCCGTCCGCTCCGATATTAAAGCAATATACGCATTCCGGGTTCGGCGTGTCTCCATCCAGGCCGTGATGACGATGTGGTTGCAAATTCTTCGCTGTTTCTTTGTTGAAGGTCGGACTTATCGGCTCGTTCTTGACCACCCCTCCCCCCGCCCCCAACGGTGAGTTGTTTGAGATGTGCATGGAAGACACGATATCCTCGGCTTGACGGCAAGGTCCGGCTTTCAAACATCAGCCGCAAGCGAAGGCGGCGGAAGGGAGTCCTTCGATCTGCTTCCAGAACAAAGTCGATCACAGGGACTGGAGGAACTTGAGAATCTCCCGAATCACAGCATCCGGCTGCTCTTGCTGTACCCAGTGTCCAGCCCCCTCAACCAACGTCGCGCCCCTGAACATTCCGTTTTTGACCCATTCCTCGTTCTCGTACCCTTGGAGAGCTCCAGGTCGTTGGTAGTTTCCCCAGTCCTTGACTCCGCTGATGAATGCAACCGGAACCTCAATCTTTTTTCCAGCAAATAGCCACATGTCACCTGCAGCCTTCTTGTTATCCTGGACCCCCACGGTTTGTGCTCGATACCAGTTCAGAGCGCCCTGGAAGCCAGTTCGCTTCCACTCAGAACAATAGAGCTCCATCTCGTCCTTGCTCAGCCACCTTTCGGTCTTGGAAGCATCCTCTCCCACCATGTTTTCATGGACCATCGTTGGCATTGTTTGGTCTCGGCGCATGATGTAGTACTCTGGCATTTTCGCCAACTGGTCCGCAGTCCAGGCATCCAGTGGGTAGGGCTCGTTCTTCTCCCAGTCGGCCGACTTGAGGTGAAAATAGCCTCTGAGGAAGGCCTCAAGCCCTTGGGGTGGCACGTCCCAATCCTTGGCAGCCGGAGCAGTTGAGTTGTACCACTTGTAATGTTTTCTCGGCGGAGAAAGAGCAGCCAAATCCGTGTGTATATCTTTTCCGTCCTTCGGGCTACTGAGAGGGGGAGTTGAAGGGGGGTGATAAGGGTGGCTCATGTGAACCGTGGAGAGAAACATGTCTGGCCGTATCAAGGCCGCCACGGCAGCGCTCACAGCGCCAAAGTCATGCCCAACAATGCTGCGTACTTGGGTATATCCCAACTTGTAAACCAGACACACCAAATCGCGCACTAGATTTGTCAGAGACCATTCTGCCAGGTCGGTATCTTCAAAGTTTCTCCGAGGCCACCCAGTTGTTCGGCCGTATCCACGCTGGTCTGGAGCCACACAAAAGTAGCCTGCTTCGGCAACGGCGGGTAGAACTTTGCGCCATGAGTAGGCCAGCTCCGGGTAGCCGTGGGTGAATAAAACGAGGGGTTTTCCTGGTTTTCCTGCTTTGAGCACATGGAAGGTGAGACCACAAGATGATGTGCAGTCGATGTAGTCTTCGATGATGCCATTAGGTAGAGGAAGCGGAGGAAAGGCACTTGAAGTCGTGGCCATTGTGTGTTAAGTGAAAGATTCAAGAACTGGTTTGCTGATGATGATCTTGCTGCAATCTGACGGCAACTTCTTGACGCCGTCGTCACTTGTGAGGGGTCAAGTCAGCGGATTGAACTGGTGATGGGCAAAGTGGAATCATGTGAAGGCTCCTCAGACCTGACATAATCACGCCGCGGTAGTGTCCCTGAAGGCTGATTGGCGGCGGCCAGATATCCCGCAATCCAGTTTGGAATGGCATCTTGTCCAATGATGTCAGCGTCGACAACTCCCGAAGACAGCGCATCTTGGTACGAAGTGTCGGCTGCCAAATAAAAGAAGAAATCAAAGCCAATGACGTCCAAGATCAAGACCCCACCAGAATGAGACTTCGAGATGGTGTTCCAGGGATGACCTTGTGGAAGGATGTTGTGGGCCGTTGTCCGGGATTGCGGCTGAGCAAATCTGGGGAAGGCCGTTGGCTGAAGTTCAGCTCCCCGCCTCACGTCGGCGGGCCATGGCGGGGTTGAGGAGGACCAAAGAGAGGCTTGAATGTGGCTCTGGTATCGGTGAGACGTGCAGAGAGATGTGTCTCAACCACCAACCAGCTTCCAGAACGGAATCAACAAAATAACAAAGCGGTGTGCTGCTCCTGAAGAAAGGGAACGGCCACTCCGGGAACTCTTTCTTGTCTGCCCTGGCGAGAAAAAGACGGGAGGATGTCCCCATTGTTCAAGGTTTTCGCAGCCGTTTGAGCAAGGCCACCACCTCGTGGCTTCGGGCACCCAGCTAGATCTGTTTTACCAGAAAGTTAGTGTAGACATACAGTTTCGCAAGCACCTAGAAAGCGAGGACTGGGCGGCTTGGAGAACCCTGAAGACCCTGAGTGTTGCAAAGACACCAAATGGTCTTTTGTAGTGTAGAGTTACCGTTTTGGATAAATGATTTGCATCGCTACCGATCTCCTCACATTGGCCTTTTCCAAGCCCGCCTCCCCATCGCTAACTTTGAAGGCAACAACAGCATTAACGTCAACAAACAAAAAAAATACACATCAGCCACCGCGCTTTTGTAGCATGCATCTCACCGCCTGTAGATTCCAAAACAGAAAATGTAAACCTGGCAGCATCCCTTGATGCTTATGAAGCATTCGTATCCCTTTCCTCCATCTGCAGAATCTCTCTGGTCACCCGGCCAAACAAGCACTGCCAAGAGCCAAGTCCAAGCCCTGAGCCTGGACCACAGCACAGGCCGTGCCGCACCTGAGTCCCCCCCAACAAGAGTCCAAGACAACCAAAACAGAAGCAGTCTTCTTCAGGTGCCGCACACGCCTCTCATCAGCCCTCTTTCTTTTCTGTCCTCTACAATCTCACCTACATTTTTAATCTACCCGTCCGTCGTTAAATGCCTTTGTTGTCGATGTTGTTTCCCCTGCCGTAGACAAAGAAACAGCTCAGCCTGCCCTGACTCGGAGATTCCAGCCCTGCGTCGCAACAGACAGATTGGAGAGAGACAGGACCAACAGAAAGTCGATCATCCATTACTCCCCCTTTCCAAGTTTCTCGTTGCCGAGTGCCAGTTCGCCCCCCAGAGATCAAGGCACGCTATCGCTCAAATCCGTTCGTCCCCACTGGTCTGCCCATGCAAGGCCCTGCCAACCAGGACGTCCCGACCTTCTCGATTCGACCCTTCGACCCTGAAAAATTGTTCAGGGACCTACCCGTTCGCTATCCGCCACCGCGACCGAGGGAGAGTGACATCCGTAAATAGGGGAGCGAGCGAGCATATCATATCAGGGGACGCAGGTTGCCCATCGTCAAGTCACCCGTTACGAGGGCAAGGGCAGTCAGTCAGTCATCACAGACAGAACCTTGGGAGCCGGCGCATCACGCAGACCGCTCCATCACCATTAATCGGCTTCCACTACGGATACGGGCTCGAGCCTGCCCCTCGGTTCTGCCGTTTCTCTGCTCGACAACGACGACGACGACGACGACGACGACGCCCAAGCCGTAACACACGTCGGCTTGACCCATCCGCTTCGTTTTCCTCCGCATTACATTCTCCAAAGCGTCCGTCATCATGTCCACCCAGTCATCCACTCGCCCTAGGCGCAACTCGGCGCACCCCGTGTCGTCGCGCGCTCGAGGCGTGAGCTTGTCTTTTGCGACGCGACAGGATTCGGGATTGTTGGCGCTGGAGGACAATGGTTTTGAAGACTTTGCTCGCCTGTCTCTGGAGAAGAGCAGGAGCCACGGCTTCTCCGGGCGGGAGCATGTCCATGTGCATGACCACGACGGAGCACCCGGCTCCTCCAAGGCACCGCACCAGGGAAACATCAAGAGGATGCTCCGACGGGCTTCTGTCTCTTTCAAAACAAACGTCAAAGGCTTCATGCACCGGCGCACCTCGATCCCCGCTTCCACGGTCTTTTCCACAGACAGCCACGACTCAAAGTCCCCCTTTCTGAGCTCGTCCCCGGCAAACTGCGACCGACCTGCCACGTCTCACTCCACATGGCACCGTCTGCGGCAAGCCACAAGCTTCCATCGCCATTCGAGGGTGCTGTACACCGGTCATGGTGAGCGCGCCTTTGGACATGATCTCGCGACCATCCAATCGCCGACCTTCCCCGTCCCCGGGTCCGGCGGGCAGCCTCCCATTATCCCGCGCAACACGGGTGCTGCTGCGAGGCAAGCGGCGGCAGCCATTGCCTGCAGTGGTAGGCAAGGATACGAATTTATGGAGTTCCAGAGGCCGCACCCGAGCTGGCTCGATGATGATTTCTTTGGTGACAGCGAGAGCGGCATCGGAATTGCCTTGACAAGCTCCTCCGAGATCGATGCGGGTGGTGGCTCCAAGGGCGAGCTGTCATCTTATGGGAGCAGCGAGAAGACCGACATTGTCAAGGTTGACTTTATCTCGCAGCTGCCAACGGAGCTGGCTATTCTTATCCTCGCCGAGCTCGATGGCCCGACTTTGGGGACGGCCAGTCTGGTCAACAAGCGCTGGGCTCATGTTGTCGAGAACCGGCATGTCTGGCGGGAGTCGTTCTTGCGGGAAAAGACGACGGCTTATGCCACGGGTGGAAGTATCCAGCCCGGGAGTGGTTTGGGAGTTCCGTTTGTTCACCCCGGGAATGACTGGAAGAACATATACAGGGCCAAGGAGCAGCTCGATCGCAACTGGAAAGAGGGCAAGGCTCGCCCGGTGTATTTGAACGGTCACACCGACAGCATTTATTGCCTGCAATTCGATGAGTATGTTTTACTTCTTGTCTTTCATCTTGTGGCTCAGCTAACCGAACAACAGAGACAAAATCATCACCGGATCTCGCGACCGCACCATCCGGGTCTGGGATATGCGCACCTACGCCTGCAAACTCGTCATCGGTTCCCCGGAAGTGGTCAACGATCCCGCCCTCTCCATCGTCTATGACCCCAGCGGCAACCCAATTCACTACGCTCACCTCCCCGACCTCGACCCGACTCCTGGCCCCGACGGTCTCCCCCGCGCCACAGTCCGCGCTCACCACTCCGTCCCCACCATCCTCTCCCCTTCCATGCACCACAAAGCCTCCATCCTCTGCCTCCAGTACGACGACGAAATCCTCGTCACCGGCTCCTCGGACGCGACCTGCATCGTCTACAGCATACGCTCCGGCTATCGCCCCATCCGCAAACTAGCCCACCACTCGGCCGCTGTTTTGGATCTCGTCTTTGACGACAAGCACATTGTCACCTGCAGCAAGGACATCTCCATCTGTGTCTGGGACCGCGCAACAGGCGCCCTGATCAAGCAGCTCCGCGGCCACTCGGGCCCCGTCAACGCAGTCCAAATGCGGGGCAACACCATCGTCTCCTGCAGCGGCGACTTCAAGGTCAAGCTCTGGAACATTGACTCGGGCAAAAACATTCAAGAATTCGTCGGGCACACCAAGGGCCTGGCGTGCAGCCAGTTTTCCGAAGACGGGAGGTGGATCGCGTCTGCGGGCAACGACAAGATCATCCGGATCTGGGACGCCAACACGGGAGAGTGTGTCAGGGAGATGAAGGCGCATGATAACCTTGTCAGGAGCCTGCACGTGGACTCTGTGTCGGGGCGGCTGGTGAGCGGGAGCTATGATAGCGACATTAAGGTTTGGGATATGGAGACAGGGCAGCCGCTGTTGGATTTTCCAAAGTGGCATTCGAGTTGGGTTTTGAGTGCGAAGAGTGATTATAGGAGGATTGTGAGTTCGGGGCAGGATCCAAAGATTTTGATTTTGGATTTTGGGGCGGGGGTGGAGGGGGTGGAGATGTTGGAGAGTAGGAGGCGGGTTGTGGAGGAGGTGGGTTTGGGTTTGGGTTGTAGGGGGGAGCAACAGCAGCAGCAGCAGCAGGAGTGGCTTTGACATAGGTGATTTTGTCTTTTTTGGGCGCGGCATCAGCGATTGCTGGCATTTTACACTTAGGGAGCCTTGGACTAGCCATTGCTTTTTGAGGCTGGTTTTTTTCTTTTTCTGGCCTTGTCTTGTTCATTTTGCATTGCGACTGGGGAGTTGTTTGTGCTTTTTTTCTTCTCTCTTTGGGCAGGATGGGACGGACGGATTGGATGGGACGAGATTGACGAGGATGAGGGCAAATGTATGTCCTGGATATGTGTGGAAGGATGGATATGTATGTTGGTTCCGAGTGGGAGAATGGAGGAATGAGTGTTGAATGAATGGGTGGATGGATTGGATGGAGACAAGGGAAGCGAGCATCTCGACGCCTTTCTTTTTCTTCATCTTTTTTAAATTTTTTTAAATTTTTTTGCAAAGTCTTTGAGCTTTTCGCGGTTTATCAGGGGTAGAGATGAGATACAGGGGACTGGTGCCTCTGCTATTATAGAAGTATTTTAATTGTTACACTTTTTTTCACAACCGACAAAACAAAAATAAGCTCACGGAGGGAATCATGCCGTTTCTGTGTGCTTTTGACATGTTGAGGAATTTTGGGGTATTAGACAGCATTTGATGCTGTGAATGGAGACGTGAAGGCACTGCTTGATGCTATTCAGTCGGTCACACGTTGGACTCTTGGTCAACACGGGGTGACATGGGCACTGCAGGAGGAAAGGGGCAGGAAGAGGAGAGCACTCAAGGAGGCAGGACACGTGGCTGGCTTTGCTGGGAGGGGTTTGTGGAGGAGCGAGGCTCTGGATAGAGTTTGTTTGTGTCATGGTGACCACGTTTTTTGGGAGGGGTTTTTTATTTTATATGTCTGGAAGCAATATTATGTATGTCTTGGGATTGTTAAGGAGTTGTTGGTTCTTCTCCTGACCCCCGAAGTTGTGCCATTGGCCTGCCGACCGGTCCGGTGACACAAACGGAGGGAAAGGACCGAGAGCGAGAGGGTGGTCAGGGGATGGGTTCCGTGCGTGCCGCCCGCGAGTCGGGAGGGTTTGCCACCGCTTTGCCGGTTGCCACAACGTCCCATTGACAATGGAGGATCTGGACTGGCAGCGGCGGATATATGATGACCAAGGAATGGGCTTATGATCAAACGTTATCGTCGGCGGAATTTTCATGGAGGCTACGGCAAACAAGGCGACGTCGATGCATAAAGTATTGAAAGCAAGAGAATCTTGAGGTCAGAACAAGAATATTCTTCCACCATCGAGTCGAAAGTCCCCCCTCCCTCAACTGTGTGCATGTAACTGCAACGTAGCCTCCAGTGTCTCAGGTTGACGATGTGATGTGTCTGGCGGCGGCTCTACTGGTGACTTGTCTTGCATGTGCCTGCCAAGAAGAGAATGATGGAACAAATCGAGAGACATGGCTGGTGATGACAAAGATATTCACCGGCGAGAAAAAGACGGCCGCGAGACAGACCGAAATGTTCCTGGACGGAGAATAGGTCAAGTTGGGAGAGGATACTCAAACGTAGGTAGGCAGCTGAAGAACAAGGGGAAAAGGAAATTTGTGCAAGTGTTTGTGTAGGTTCGGCCGAGTAACTTGAACCCTGGAATGGACGACAAACTAACTGCCCTGCCTGTGATGTGATGGAGATTGATGATGAAGAAATAAATGACCCTGAGGAAGGAAGCAAGCGAGGAGGTCAATATATCTGCGGCAAACTCATGGCCAAGAGAATGGCTATGGGTGTGCTCTGGCTACCTTATGGGGTGCTTGCTGTTTCCGTCCCATATTATAGCGCACTCAAAGTTTGTGAGACACGCGGAGGTAAGCCACGAAGCATTGGTAGGGTGGTAGTACGACGGAGGACGTCTGCCGACAGCAACGGGAGGCAGTTGTCCCCCTGTTCTACGCCGCGTAGATGCCTCTGGTGGCGCCATGGGTTGCAATGGGCCACTCACAGCGGGCGGCAGGTCCGCAAGGGGAAGTTTCTCAAACACTGCAGAACAGGCTGTGATGTGTGTGCATGTGTGGATGTGTGTGAGAAGACGGTGGTGGGGGCGGCACTGAATGGCTGGGAAGAGCCGCCCGGGAATGGTGGGGTTACAAAGCCAGTGGAGTTCTACTTTAAGGTATCCCCAGAGACCCCACACTGGGTTTTGAAACGCTGCCACAACCGGCGGTCGTTTTGCACACAGCAAGAGATGGTGAGGCCATCAAGAAATAGACAGGGCACCACCAGTCAATTTCTCTCGGTCGAATTCTACATACACCACTAGTTTTCCATCACCGCCTCAAAGTAATATCTCGCAGTTTCTCTCCTCTCCAAGTGTCCAGTGGCCAATTGTTTCTCACGGCCCAAGCGCTTCGGTTCTTGATGTGTGGATGCACTCCACAAGATAAGATCAAGCCACCATCTCTGCCAAGACCCGCCTCGGCGATCTTCCACCAGTCCCTGTGAAGCCGCCCCCTGTGTGCGCCACAACACCGACACGGAGACATCATTCCATTCCAGAGCACCACAGCACCCGCAGCGATCGACGGTTGCATGAAGAACCCCCCTTGAATATCAACCTTGTATCCTGCCCAACCTTCCACCTGGTCGTGCCGTCTGATGCCTTGTTATCCTGTCGCCAGACCCAAGAGCTTGCCTGCTGTCTGCTGTGCCGAGCTATGGAGCTACTGCTACGGTAGCATGTTTGGACCACCTGGTGCTCCCAGCCAATTGCGAGCCCGGCGAACCCCGTGTTTCTTTTCTTCAAGATCAGTCCCCACCGAGTGAGGCCCGATTTCTAGAGCTGTCAACCATGCAAGATCTTAAGGTCCATGGGATGATGATTCGCCCATGAGCTGTCCAAGAGTCATCGCCTCCATCACCCCAGGTACCTTGCCCCATACCTCTTCCCCCCTCTGCCCGCCAGTGACAATACTGCCCCTCGCGCCGGTATGGGGGGGTGGGGAAGGCTGACGTTCCTATGCTTTCAAGGCACCCGGCGGCAGATCAATGCTTGTCCAGACCCCACATATCCCCCGAGGCCAGGTTGGTACTGCTGTCACGGCGGACCTTGTCGTGCTTGTACCTGCGTGGTGCAAGACAGCAGTGATCATGGGGCGGCTATTCACTTGCCACCAGCTATGAATGCCGTCAGATACGTCCAGGAAACCCTGTCTGATGAAACATGGGACACATGGACCGACACATGCAGTATAAGACTGGATGCCGCCGGACACCAATGCAGCCCCCGGACCCTTTTCTCACCCTCACTCAGCGTAAACAACAGGCTTGGGCTGTTTAACTACCACATCTTCCAACATCCCAATCTGACGGTCACTTCATCTCTCTTCTCCTCACACTCCCGAGTCGCTCTCTGCCGGCAGTGAATCAGCAAACCTGGCTGGGCCGGCACATTTCACAAAGTAAGTCTTCATCTGATCACCTTTCTATTCGTGCTCTCTACATTGGGATAAACACATGGACAAACACTCAAGTGATGGAAGTGGAGCGTGGGAACCACATGGAGCTTCACCTCCATAGCTTTGTCTAGAAGAGAGGGACCTGGGAGGATGGCAAAGGTTGCTCTGGCTTCCAACAATGCCATTCATCCCAATTTTTGGGGCGAGCACCTTGACGGCCTGGCACGCGCGCTCTGCTTCACGCGACCTTATATTTCTTCTTTTCGCACCTTCCTCGTTTGTCTTTTCTTCTTCCTCGCTGCTTAAGCAAACTTGACACCACACTCAGCTGGAGCTGGACACTCATTCTTGTTTTTTTTTCCTTTTTTCCTTTTTCCCACTTCTGAAAAATAGCTGGTCTAACATCTTCTCAGTTTTCCACTTCCTTTTCGACTCTACACCATAACACTCACTTTTGACAGCACCACCATTACGAGATAGCTGGCATTACCACGATGGGTCTCTCAAAACTCTCCACGTTACTATTACTGGCGATAGGGGTCGTCTCACCTTCCGTTGCGGCCCCAGCCCCTCGCCAGGAATCTGGCTGGTGGCTCAGTACCATCAAGCGGCAAGGTAATGCTGCCTTCAACGCCGACCCTGCCAACTACAAGGTCTTCCGCAATGTTCAAGACTACGGTGCCAAGGGCGATGGCGCCACCGATGATACCGAGGCCATCAACAGGGCCATCAGCGACCAGAACCGCTGTGGTCTCGGCTGCACCTCTCAGACCACGACTCCCGGTCTTGTGTACTTCCCTCCCGGCACCTACCGCGTCAGCAAGCCGATCATTCCCTACTACTACACCCAGATGGTCGGTGATGCCATCAACCCTCCGACTCTCAAGGCCACCGCCGACTTTGAAGGCATGGCCGTGATTGACGCTGATCCCTACGAGAATGACGGCCGCAACTGGTGGACCAACCAGAACAACTTCTTCCGCCAGGTTCGCAACTTTGTCATCGACATCAAGGACATGCCATTCGACAAGGGTGCCGGCATCCACTGGCAGGTCGCCCAGGCCACCAGTCTGCACAATATTGTCTTCAACATGCGTGAGGACGGTGGTTCCGCGAACAAGCAGCTGGGTATCTTCATGGACAACGGCTCCGGCGGTTTCATGGTTGATCTTACTTTCAATGGTGGCCAGTATGGTGCCTTCTTTGGCAATCAGCAGTTCACTACCCGCAACCTCACCTTCAACCGCTGCCAGACTGCCATCTACATGAACTGGAACTGGGCTTGGACTTTCCAGGACGTTCACATCAACGACTGCCAAGTCGGTATTGACATGTCCAACGGTGGGCCTGAGGGTCAGACTGTCGGGTCTGTCTTGATGGTTGACAGCGTTTTTACCAACACCCCCACCGGTATCAAGACTGCCTACAACCCCGATTCTCCCCAGACCAATGGCACCCTCATTCTGGACAACGTTGACTTCTCGGGTTCTCAGCAGGCTGTTCTGAACAATGCCACCCAGTCTGTGATTCTCGAGGGCAACCAAAAGGTGGACTTTTTCGTCCAAGGCAAGACCTACGGCGGAGCTGTCAGCGGAGCTGCTGCCGGCCGTGCTGTACAAAGCGCCCAGCAGAACGTCCGGAAGCCTGCCTCTCTGCTCGACCAGGCCACTGGCAAGGTCTTCACCCGCACCAAGCCTCAATACGAGGACGTCCCGGTTGGCAACTTTGTCAGCGTCAAGTCCCAAGGTGCCAAGGGCGATGGCAAGACGGACGACACCGACGCCATCCAGAAGATCTTTGACAGCGTTACTCCTGATCAAGTTGTCTACTTTGACCATGGTGCCTACATCATCACCAAGACTGTCAAGGTCCCCAAGGACATCAAAATCACTGGCGAGATTTGGCCTCTGATCCTTGCTGGAGGTGACCAGTTCTTCAAGGACCAGGCCAACCCCAAGCCCGTCTTCCAGGTTGGCCAGCCCGGTGATGTTGGCAACGTTGAGATGTCTGATCTCATCTTCGGCACTGCTGGTCCCCAGCCCGGCGCCATCATCATGGAGTGGAACGTCAAGGGTACTACGCCTGGCGCTGCCGGCCTCTGGGATGTCCACACCCGCATCGGTGGGTACCGCGGCACCGAGCTTGAACTGGAGCAGTGTGCAAAGAACCCCAACGTCACCAACACCATTCCCGAGCAGTGCTTTGGTTCTTTCATGATGCTCCACATCCCGGCCGGTGGTAGCGCCTACCTCGAGAACACGTGGTATTGGGTTGCCGACCACTCTCTCGAGCCCGAGGCCAAGGACGGTCAGATTGATGTCTTCAACGGCCGCGGTGTCCTCATCGAGGGAGAAGGACCCGTCTGGGGCTGGGCCACCGCCTCTGAGCACTCGGTCCTCCAAAACTACCAGTTCAACAACGCCTCCAACATCTGGCTCGCCCTCATCCAGACCGAGACCCCGTACTTCCAAGGCAACCCCGACGCGACCAAGCCCTTCACCGTCAACCCCACCTATGCCGACCCTGACTTTGAGAAGTCGTGCGCCAACTCGAGCGACCCGACCTGCAAGAGAGCGTGGGGTGTCCGGGCTATTAACTCCAAGGACATCTTCATCTACGGCGCGGGTCTCTACTCCTTCTTTGACAACTACGGCCAGGACTGCGTCAAGAGCCAGGACTGCCAGGTCAACATGGTGTCTCTCGAGGACTCGGCGGTGCACTTTTACGGCCTTAGCACCAAGGCCAGCGTCAACATGTTGACTGTCAACGGCGAGGGCGTTGCTCTCGACAAGGACAACAGGAACAACTTTTGCGCCACCCTTGCGCTGTTCACGTCGGAGCCTCAGGCCCAGGCTGCCTAGAGCGCGGCTGGGAGGGGTTCTTCCTCTGGGAAGGGTTCTACTGGGAACCGTCCTTCCTGTGGGAGCAGATAAAGGAAACGGGAAAAAACAAAGGGATGGGATTGCGCGGGATTAGTTTATGAGATACCCTGAGGGACAGAAAGCGGGGGGTGGGACATGGATTTGTGCTTTTTTCTTTCTATCTGCATTGGTGGTCTTTTGTTTTCTTTCTCTTCTTCGAACTGTGGCCCAAGCGGCATTTACCCATGATTTTCTTTTCTTTTTTCTTCTCCATGTTCATTTGTTTGGGCCATGGCGTTCTAGGAAGGGGGGAAAGCTGCATGAATGGATGCATGATTTGAGAGCCGTGGCTGGCTGGGGAAAACAGGGGATACTATACAGCGCAGTGGACAACACGAACTTACTAGGTAGTACAAACAAAAATGGCTGCGAGGCGTATTTTTCTGAGATGTCATTTTCTTGACGTGTGATTGATCATTTGTGATGAGAATCGGACAAAAAAACGACGCCATTCCCGCCTCCCGTTTTTTTGTGTGCTCGGGGATTCGTGGCGTTGAGGTCCGAGCTTCGGCGAATGTTACATAATCAACAAGCCTCGGCGCGATCACGACCGGTCCAAAGCAGTTGCCAAGGCAGTGTTGAACAACGTCATAGCTTTCGAATTTGCGATTTGCGACTTTGCTCCAAAACATCACCAAGCCAGCTTCTTTGTCGAGCCTGCGCTCTCGCAACGACGTTTTATCCTCGTGTTTAATACTCCTGTTTCTTTACTCTACGAACCTCTTGCTATCCTCTCCAATGCAACCACCAAACGCGACTCCACCCGAACGAGTATAACCCAACAAACCTTTCCATCCTCAAAAGAAAAACACGACGGGCCAAACGATGGACTCACCACCACCGCCCTCCGGCCCCTCCCGCCGACACGTCTCCCCTTCTTCCCTCTCCCCCTCCTCCCAAACAGTCCACATCTCCTCCTCAACAACAACCCGAACCGCGCCACCAAGAAACAACCCCCTCCTCCCCACCCCAACCGAGCTCGCCCTCCTGAGCATCTACCCCTTCCTCCTCATCTTCGGCACCTTCTTCGCCGTCTTATCTCCAGACGTCCAATCCTCCACCTACAACCCCCTCACCCAATCCCACGACCAGGGCTCCCTCTCCCCATCCTACTTTGCCCGCAAAAAATAACCTTTTCAACGTCCTCTTTGTGAAGCGCGGGTGGGGGTGGATAACATTTTCTTTCTTCCTCTTTATTTTCACGCACCCCGCTGTCAGGACATCGGCGCAAAAGAGCCGGGCGACGATACGATGGGCGGTGGTGACGGCGTGGTGGGTGTTTGTGACGCAGTGGTTTTTTGGGCCGGCGATTATCGATAGGGGGTTTAGGTTTAACGGGGGGGAAGTGTCAGGTTAAGATGGCGGAGATTTCCGAGAAGGATGCGGGGGATGTGGGTGTCAAGGAGGTTTTTACTGCGGCGGCGTGCAAGAGTGCTGGGGGGAGGTGGTCGGGGGTCCATGATATCTCGGGGCATGTGTTTTTGTTGGTGTTGGGGAGTTGTTTTTTGTTGCAGGAGGTTGGGTGGGTTGTTGGAAGGTGGGTGAGGTTTGTGAGGGAGGAGAGGGCGGTTGTGATGGCTGATGGGGCGGTTAAGGGGGCGACGGCGGAGGTGGAGAGGGAGGTGAGGTATCAGGGGGAGGATATTGGGAGGGGGATGGGGGTGATGGAGGGGTTGGCCCCTGGGGCCCCAGTGGCGGTGGGAGTGGTGGGGTTGTGTGCTTGGATGTTGTTGATGACGGCGATTTATTTCCATACTTGGTTTGAGAAGGTATGTTTTCGCTTCTTGTCATGTCGAGTGAAGAGAGGCTAACTTTGACTACAGCTCACTGGGCTGCTTGTCGCCTTGACGGCTCTGTACACTACGTATATTCTCCCCCGGAACGTGCCCGCCCTCAGGAGCATCATTGGGTTGCCCGGGATTTGAAAGCGATAGAAGGCGAGAAGAATAGGATAGATCAGGTGCCGTTGGACATACATATAGCATAGCATACCGCTTGTAATCACATCGATACCACATACCTCCGATCACCCCTTTGGTTTCCCTCCTTTTCCTCCTCCTCCCACGGCACCGGCCTGTTCAACTCAGCCCATTCCTTCTCGGCCTTGCTCCCAACTGTTCACTAGTCAGCATCCTCCCCTCCTTTCCTCGATCTCGTCTCGGGGTTGCTTACAAGGAGGCGGAACAAAGCCATTGATCTTCCACAACGCCCTAGGCGTCTCGTCAACGTGCCACTCCCAGTCATACCCCTTCTCCTCCACATGCGGTCGCAAAGCGTCGTCGATCCGCTTGATTGTTCGCTCTTGACTGCCGGGGTTTTGACTGACGTGGACGGCGATGTGCTCGGCTACAAAGCGGATGAAGGGTTTGGATCGGGCAGAGGAGGGCTCCCCGCCGATGAAGGTGTTGTCATCGGGGGAGAGGGGAATGAAGTTGATGACTACGTAGAAGGCGGGGAGGCCGGAGGAGGTGTAGATTGAGGTTATGGATTTGACGAGGGCGGATTTGGATTCGGGGGTGGTGAAGGTTTGGAGGGGGTGGTAGATGAGCCAGAGGGGCATGGTGTGGTTTGGGGGTGATAGAGGGTGGAGGGGCGATGCTGTTTGGAAGTGAAGAGTGAGAGGTGCCAGCTATTGGAGAGCAGTCATGCTCTTTTGTAACATTTCGTCTTGATTAGGGCAAGTATAATGTACGACACATCACGCCAGAGATTGATTTGTCGGCATGGATTTGTTGAATAATGATGCCGAGGTGGCATGGCCTGGGAGGCCAGGTGGTGATTACATACATGATCACTGATCAACAATGCGATGCTGTTGTAATCATCAACATTCTCCACACGTCACACGTGTTGTCGGTTTTGAGAATTATTCGCTCAGCAAAGTTACATCAACGCAGTGATTATTGATCCCTTTTCTGCGCCCAACACACCAACCATGTATCACTAATGACCAACAGGCAAATCTCATTGTAGCGAGGGGAAGAGATCACGTGACACCAGAGATCGTATCACCTACTTAAGGTATCAAGCACCCCTTTCTTTCATATCACAACACCAGCCAGTAGCACCACATCGATCATGGCGTTGCGAATCTTCATCACCGGCGGCACCGGCTTCATCGGCTCTCAAGTCGTGCTCGATGCCCTCAAGGCGGGCCACCAACTTCGCTTGAGTGTCAGGCGGGAGGCTCAAGTTGAGGAGGTCAAGGCACGGTTCCCCCAGCACGCTTCCAAGCTCGACTTTGCCGTCATCCCCAACATCGACAACGCCGAGGCAATTCGGTCCGCTCTGTCCAACGATATCAATGCCATCTTCCATCTCGCCTCACCCATACCAGGCAAAGGTGACGACTTCAAGACTGAATATCTGCAACCCGCTGTCGCAGGGACTGAAGCAATATTAAATGCTGCTGCGGAGACGCCGGCCGTGAAGAGAGTAATCATCATGTCGTCCATCTTGGCCTTGATGCCCCCGGACAGCATGAACACCCCTGGTCTGGAAGTCAAAGGTAAGCGAAGCAATCCAAATAAAGTCCCGCAAACAGATTATGAATGACAAACCGGACTGGTTTGAACAATAGCCGGTATCAATCCAACCCTTGCCATCAACCCGGAGATGTCCTTCCCGTCTGGCCCCGCGGGCCATGGAGCCAAGTACGCAACCTCCAAAATCCTCGCTCATCGAGTCACGATTGGATGGATGCGGGTTCATGAGCCTCAGTTCTCCTTAGTGACGTTGCATCCGACCTTTGTCCTCGGGAGGGATCTCACCCAACAAACATCCAAGCCAAACGGCGTCAATGCCTATCTCATGGCAACTCTCACCAACCCCCCTGGTGGCAAGCCGGTTGTGCCTGCGTCAATGGTGGATGTCCGTGATGTAAGCTTGACGGTGCTGCGAAGTCTTGATGTGGAGTTGGGTCGGGAAGAGTTGGTGACTGAATACTTGGTGGTTGGGGACCCAACATGCTATGATGATGTTGTGGAGTTTGTCAAGACAAAATATCCCGCCATACCCGTCAACATTGAGGGCCCATACGACGAGCCTTTCACTGTCGATACGAGCCGTACCGAGAAGGAGCTCGGCATCACTCGATGGCACAGCATGGAGGAGATGGTATCGAGTGTTTTGGATCAGCAGCTGGAAATTCGGGGCCGGGAAGGAATGGCAGCATTGTGAAATGGGTACGTACTTTGACAGGTAGCTTTGCAGCTGCTTCAAAGATGATGTAGCTTGGATGCTCGATGATGCCCAAGTTTTGATGGCCTGAGGCCCACAGTCCTGGCCCACAGTCCTGGCACGAGGTGAGAAAAGAGGCACCGTTTGAAGGGCATATGCTCCACTCGGGCAGCGGGTGAAGATGGGATGGTTCCGAGACGGCGAATTTCACGGCTCAGACAAACAGGCTGTAGGCCTCAGATAGCCAGGAGGGCACGATAACGGATAGCTCTTGTCAGTTTCTTTTTCCCTGCCCTGCTCAGTGCCTTCCGGGTTATGCTATCGGCACTGGCCAATCAGAGGGCCGTCACTGACCAAAAGGTCCTCCTCGTCCAAGAAGAGAGCGAGTGAGCGACTTTTTCCTCCAAACCTAGCCTGTGTGTGACCCATGAACCTCCCATCTCCACTGCGGACGCAATCTGCATTCTGCAACTGGACCTACTTTCTTTGACAGACCAAAATCAAACGGCATATCCCCATCGCCATCCCCGTCAAACGACCTTTCCCCTCGCCTCCCCTCGAACGCAACCCCGCAAATATTCTGCTCATAGTCATCAGACATGTCAGATATTCATGAGAGTAGAAATAAGGTCTCCCGTCGGACCTGCGGCGAATATGACGAATTCAGACTCGAGTCCATCTCAGCTCCACCTCATCCGAACATCTGTCGTCTCGTCGTCGCCATTATGCGCCCAATGCACAACTATCCGGAACACAAGCCGTGACCCGCTAAGGCTTGCGGCGACAGCTCGACGGATATTCGCATGCCTCGAGCCATCGTGTGGGAAACGGCCCCTGCCAGGACAAGGGTGGTATGATCCTTCACCACTGTATGTCCGAGATAGCTCCCGGCCCCAGTGGGATGTAGGGGGCTCCCAAAGGGGAATCTGCAACTGCATTTGGCTTTCTTCGCCGGTCTCGATTTGTAGGTCTCCCCATCTACTGGGAGTGGGGGGGCACTCTTGAAAGATGTGATACTTCTGTTGTTTGTCTCTCTCGGCAGTGGGTCAGATCTGCGAGCGGCAGTAAACTCGTTCGTGGCATGCGCCCAACTAGGACTGACATATGCAGGCCATAGCTGCAGCCCGGGGTTATTCCATCACCACCAGCCTGGTCTCGCCAATCGAACACGATCAACCGGCCCGCTCCTTTTCCCACAACCTGGAAACATTGATTCAAACCCACGAGGGTCGTTAGCTACTTGCTCTCCTGTTGCCCACATGGCAGAACAGCATGCAAAGTGATTTGGCGCACAGCCTATTGCTTCGCTAGATCCATCATGAAAGCGGCCGAAGCCGTCCAGACGACACAGGTCATACCATGCGTCGTTCCGGAGATATCTCCTGTTTGCAGCTGCTCAAAGTGTCTCCCTCACTTGATCCATCACATTTGGAATCAAACAATTGGTTACCCATGTACTGATCGTTTCTGGCTGGGCAAGGAGAGCTCTGGTTGGCGGTAGCTAACCGTTCAGGCAGAGCCGTCAACGGCGAAGTCCAGACAGACAGACCCACACGGATTCCCCCAATAGGCAGATGGCCGTGACCAGTCTTGCCACCCGTAGTGAGCGAACCTCAAACTTGATATTACGACATCCACGTCCTATCCTGGTCACTCACCCCGCGATCTAATATCCATGAGTCCCAAAGGGGTTATGAGGTGTGGGATGTGTTACGGCAGTCTCGGCCGGGCCCCATCGTGATGCGGGCCGGTGGACATAAGGACGGGGACTTGATCAACAGCAAAGTAGGTGGTTTATGGTAGGTGGGCAGACTCTCAGCTCGGGGCTCGAGGCCGTCTGGTTCTCTTTTCGGGAATTTGTCGTCCGATTCGAGCAAGCTTGGGACCTTGTGGCATACAATGGCCCCTTTGCTAATCTACAAGAAATGAGATATCAGATTGGGGAGAAAGCCAAGTCAACTATCCCCTTGTTTTAGCCCTCAAGTCGGCCGTCACACGGTGGGGAGCAAAGATGTCATTCCGCTCCGACTTCCTTTCCTTTCCTTGGCGGGCCCTTTTCAACCGCCACAGCTGTCCTTGTTATTCTAGCTACCCCCTCGCCTATTCCTTGAAGTCATCCCTGACAGACCGTCACTCCATTTCCAACTGTCGTCAACTCAACGCTCATCCAAATCCAAAGCTATCAGAGAGGCCTGAGCTTCGTCCCCAGCGGTTCTTTTCAACGGGAAGCTACACCAGACCTGCATAACGAACCAACATCGTTCACCTTGACCGCTCAACGTTGCGGCATTAGCTGCCCGACGAACCTTTCAAGCCGGATACCCATCATCACCAGTCGCTCCATGCTTTTCAAGCGGGGCTCTTCACAAATGGACGAAGGTCATTGGGGCACGTCCATCCCCAATTCGAGAGCAGCAGAGAAATCGAAAGCAGCGGTGAAGATAGACAGGAGAAGAAGAGAGGGGCTCCGTGGCAAGAAGGCCAGCCAAAGACAAGCAAGACAGTTGGATGGTTGGGAGTTGAACAGCAGAGGCGAGTGCGGTCTGCCGGCGAAGGGCGGCCTCGACTTGTTTATCAACTTGATGAGACCCCAGGTAGATATGCTCTGGCCTGTACAGGACCTTCTTCCTTCTGCAGCTTGGGCAGCAGAATTCAAGTCAGACATCGCTAAAACACCACAGCTCCTCATGCCCCACGACATGTCTTTCAACACGACCTCGCTGCTCAACACCAACGGGGTCGATGAGAGTGGATCCCAGCACTCGCCACCTTCTGGCCTTGGGATTTACCATCAGAGAGCTTTTCCCATGCGATCAGGCAGCATAGGCAACAGTGCGACTTTTCTGGTACGTCTGATTGTTTTGTCATCTTGTTGTCGCTCGTTCTTTTTTTTGTTTTTCTTTTTCAAGTTCTTTGTTGCTGCCCCGTCTGTAAAACTGGACGACTGACAGGTGCGACTTTGATCGAAAACAGGCAGCAGACGAACAGACTGGTTTGAATCGCTCTTCACCTTATGTTTCAGTTTCACATTATTCCCACCCTCAGTCTCAGCCAACAGATCCGAGGACAAACTGGCATGAGTCGACCACCGCAAACCTTCTTTCTGAACAGGGCCTCTCCAACCCCTCCTATTGGCAACAGAGCGGTGGACCGGCCGCGGTAACTTCGTTTGTCTCTTCTCATGGTGGAGACCACTGGGATCAAGAGACCGGGTTCGGAGCCAACGCTGTGATGATGGACTACAATCAGAGCCATCACTACACCTTGGGCCACAACACGCTCCCACAAACGGACCATGGGCTGGGTCATGGACTTCCTCTGCAAGACCTCCCATTCTCTGCTCCAAGTGCGATGTCGGAGGATGATGACTTCGACTATCTCAGCAACCCATTTCCAAATATGCTTTACGATTCCTCCAGCGGCAGCTTCTCGTCAACTGGCGCGTCAGACATGTTGGAAGCCATGGCTATGAGAGACAGCAGCGAACCTCTTCGATCCCCCTGGCCAGCATCGAAAGAGCACCTCGGGAACAAGACGCTTCCGTGCATTAGACCTGCTTCCCCACACCAAGCCGATGCTTGGATCTGGAACCCGAACTCGGTACACAATCATCTGCCCATGTTTCAATCCTGTGCCTGCGACTCTGATCTTCCCCATGCCTCATCGTCCGAGTCCATCCGAACAAGCTTTCTGGCGGACTCGTCCTCTATTGCCTCGTCCTCTTTTGCTACGTCCTCTCATCCCATGGAAATTGCCGAGCAACACCGCCCGTCCAAAGGACGCAAGACTCTACCTGACCGACCGGTGCCACGCCTACTGGCAGCTGCCGTGCTCAAGAGCAATGAAAAACCGGCCACCCCTCAAGGAAGCAAGTCTCGCCGGTCAAAGAGCTCAGCCGAGCCCATGTCACCTTCAGTCAGAAAGACCAGCAAGCTGGCCGCCAAACCGAGACATCCCGCAGCTCTGCCAGCCTTGACACCGAACCCTCGCACTCGTTCTCAGTCTACGCCAGGTCCGAGTCCATCCTTGTACGAAGCCGGCGAAGAAGTGACCGAGGCCGAGTTGGCCGATCGCAAGGCCAAGGACGAGTTCCTTATCGCCAGCCGGCAAAAGGGAATGACGTACAAGCAAATCCGCCAGGAGGGTGGCTACACTGAGGCCGAGTCGACTCTCCGAGGCCGGTATCGTGCTCTGACCAAGAGTAGGGAGGAGAGGGTGAGGAAGCCGGAGTGGTCCGAGATGGATGTAAGTTTTTTTGGGCTTCAACAACAAAGGTTTGAGGCTGATGTACATGTGAAATACCAGTTGATCCTTCTCGAGCGAGGTGTCCGCGAGCTATCACCCCCTACCTCGATTCGTGACAATAATTCGGATGGCCCACAGTCGACCAAGGTTCCGTGGAAGAAGGTGGCCGAGTATATTGTCCAGAACGGGGGCAGCTATCACTTTGGTAATTCGACTTGCCGCAAGAAGTGGGATGAGTTGGTGGGGGAGCAGACGGCGCTGGGCAAGGATCCCAGGGTGCCGTTCTTTGAGCAGAATACCAGAGTCATGAGAGCGGCTTTTGGGGACATGCTGCGGGGGCAAGGGGGTGGTTGTCGGTATGGTCGTGAGTGATGTGTCTTTTTGTGCTGCTGAATGAGTTGCTCGGTGTGTTTCCTTTCATGACATTGTTTTCTATTTACCGATACGGGTGGCTGGCCTATTTTGGTATCCAACGCATGTAAAGTGGTGTTCAAAAACGGGAAGGTGGCAGACAAAAAGAAGTAGTTATTAGCATAATGAGTTGTGGGCGTATTTACATCCTGGCCCGGTTAGGCACACCTATCCTCCCCAACACTTGGTTGACTTGGTCTGGATCCTCTCTCAGGGCATTCCACTCCATCTCTGACCTTACCAGCGCCGTCCCCGCGAGGACAGTCCCGTTGAGCGCTAGGTTTCCCACCTCTTGCCCGTCTTTATCCTTGACCACCCCTCCCTCTGTCAACCGCGGCACCACCGCCATTGTGTTGTTTGTCATGGCGAGGTTGTAACTTATCTGCGCTTCGCCCTCGTGTTTGATATCCTCCGCTACTCCCAACACTGCTTCACAGGCTTGGTTGTACAACTCCAGATACACCCTCCTCAGTTCCTCTCCATCACCACCCAACCCTTCAATATCCCTAGCAAAAACCTCAAACGGTAACTTCCCCCTTGTGTTTGGGTCTGTCAATCCCTTAGCAAGAACATCCCATTCCCCCTCCAACCCCTCCTTCATGTTCTCCACCGGGAGCAATTGCAGATGGCGATGGGGCTGGCTCGCCCCGCTGTGGTCTCCTGAATTAAAGAAGACGAACAACTCTTTGTTGTGCCGGGCGTACGCATCAATACACGCGTAGGCAGCTGCCAAGTCGTCTGCTTCGAGGAGGTGAGTTTGGGGTTTGAAGGCTGAGGTGGAGAGGATGAAGTGCTCGGGGACGACGGCGAATTTGTTGAGGACTAGGTTGTGCGATGGGGGGCTCGTTCCGAAAGGGGTGATGAGCATTTCTTGTGTGGGGGAGGCGAAGGGGTTGAAGAAGAGCTTGGGGGTTGTGACGCTGGGGGGTTTGGGTTTTGAGGCTAGGGAGGGCGAGTAGCGGAGTTGGAACTGACATGTTAGTTAGGGAGGGGGGGGGGGGGGGGGAAGGTACGGAAAAAGGGAGAGGGAACCATACAGGAATGGAGTTGATGGTTAGAAGGGTGACGGAGGTGGGGTAGAAGTTGACGGTTTTGGTGGCGACGGAGCGGGAGAAGGCGGTTGCGACGAGGGAGGGGAGGTTGGGTGGGAGATGGGGCTTTGGGCGCATTTTGTTGGAGGGGGTGGTCGCCATGGTTGAGGAGGGGGCTGTTTGTTGACAAAGTGTGTTGAAGGAGGGGAAAAAAGGGTGGGAATAGCTTCGATGAGGTCATTGACGGTGGTCTGTGCGCGTGTTGGCTCAGTGCCAAGACAAGCTACGTTTCTGATGGTAGAAATGACCACAAAAATGGTGGTTGAAGAGTTGATGGAGTTGCTAAGTAGGTAATTTCCAATGAAAGCTGGGATACTGTCATAGTTTTCATGATGCGTTGTTCACATAGAAGACCATCCAAGCCTTGGGAAACCTAACGAAGCTCGGCTGCCCAGCCTTCTACTTTGTGACCACTGTACTATCCCCCGCATCCCCACAGGTTGACGCCAGCAGGTCTCGAACCTACCTTGGGTTCAAGATACGGCCTCACAACTTCAGTACAGAGGCACTTTTCTTTCCTCCAATTCGAGGAATGTCATGAGCTATCAAGTTCTACTACAACATCAGGTGGTGGGTGCCCAGAAAGATGAATTGGGGGCCGAGATAGAGCGTCCATAGATAAGGCCCAATTACACATGGGTGGTTGTAGCCACTTCTATGTGGTATGATCGGCTGGTGATCTTATTTCACTCACAGATTATGAGTGTTGTGATTGGTGACGGGGCATCCGGTCCAGTCCCGGTACAGATGCAACTGACTGGCACAGATAAATAAATAGATGAGGGTGGGTGGGGGCCAAGTTGAACCTTCTACGGAGTACTTATCCACGGAATTGCGTTTATGTCGACCGTTCCCTTCGGAGGAGTAGACTGCATAGTAACCTTGGTCACAAAGAACGCATTTCATTCGACCGTGTCAGGTTGCATTGCATTCATGGCACAAGCCCTATACAGGTTACTTCTCAACTGCCATTTCGGCTTTTGGGGATTGAGTCGCCCCCCCCCCCCAATCACTTACACCAATACCTACCTCAAGTTCCCGTTTTCGGTTGAGTTTTAACCAAAATAAACATCATCGGGAAGCTGCTGATACCCGTCCACCATGGCCCTTGACAAAATTCAAGCTCAAGGTTTCACAATCCTACACCCTGTACAAGGAGAGACGAGTAACGGCAGCCCTGTAGCAGAGTAAGTCTAGGCCTGGATGTTAGTCCCATGTTGAATACTGAGTATCGCAGCATCATACTTGTTCATGGCCTTCAAGGTCACCCAAAACGAACCTGGTTATATACGTCGAGGACCCAAGATCAGCGGCGTGATAGCTCGTCGCGGAAACGTTGGAAAGGAGCACTTGCTGAGCTTATGAGTCCGAAATCTGGTAGCTCCGCCCCCGTTGGCAATGCGGGGCCATCAGTCGCATCATCGTCTGTTGACGATGGTGTGTATTGGCCAGGGGATTTGCTCCCGCCAGACTGCCCGAATGCAAGAATCATGGTGTGGGGTTACGATACAGTTATCAGCAAAGGCTATGCACCAACCGACAAGTCCAGTTTGTTTGGACATGCGAAAAACCTCCTTTATGCCCTCAACCGAATAAGACCTCAAGACCGAAAGATCGTGTTCGTCGCGCATTCACTGGGAGGCTTAATCGTCAAAGAAATGTTGCGACGATCGCAGGCCGACGAAGATTCGCACATTCAGAATATCATCCAGTCGACAGCAGCTGTGATATTCCTAGGCACACCGCATAGAGGTAGTCATGAATTTGCACGACTTGGAGACATGGTCAGAAAGGTCGCCAGCACCATCCTGAGAGTGGACAGTAACGAGACAATTATTCGAGCTCTGGGCCTTGATTCACCAGAGCTAGAACTCTCCCGGGAGTCATTTCTCCAACAATGGCGCACATATGGGTTTCTGGTCAAAACCTTTCAGGAAAGCCAAGCCTTGTCGGGTGCAAACCTCGGTCTTTTGAATGGAAAGGTACCTATTTTCATGCTGAACCTCACAGGGCTATGGATGTGGGCTAACTCGACTGACAGATAGTGCCGGATACATCGTCGTTACTCGATGACCCCCGAGAGCATGCAGAAGTTATACATGCAGACCATCGAAACATGACCAAATTCAGCGGGCGAGATGATCCAAATTACCTCAAGGTGCTGGGAGAAATCCAAAGGGGGATAAACTCCGCCAGTGTCAAGTCAAATTTGAGCATATCTGAGGAGGAGAAAAGTAAGCGACATCCCATAATCATTTTCTGAAATCCTTCGAGTCGCTAATCAACCTTTCCAGAGGAGTGTTTGGGCAGTCTCTACTATGAAGCAATGTTTAGCAGACAACGGACGATCAAGAATGCCATACCAAAAACATGCGAGTGGTTTTACCATTCCAGTGTTTTCCAAACTTGGTACTCGAGAAAGAGAGCTTCAACCGACCGCGGGCTTCTGTGGTTGAAAGGAAAGCCAGGAGCCGGAAAATCCACGGTGATGAAATACGCACTTGCTCAGCTGGAATGTCTTGAGGGGAGTCGCAGCAATGTTGCGAGCTTCTACTTCAATGCTCGTGGGAATGCCATGGAAAAGTCGCCTCTTGGTCTCCTTCGGTCAGTCCTCCACCAACTATGCCTCCAGGACTGCCAAATCTTGGCCACATTCTCCCAGACCTACCAGAGAAGGCAGAGTTGCGATGGTGGCAGTTATCTTCCATGGTCAGGGCTGGAGCTGGAGAGCTTTTTTGAGAAAGCATTCAAAGAAAGCAGTACCCGGCGCACGTTCATCTTCATTGATGCTCTTGATGAGTGCAGCGAAGAAAGCGTACGCGAAGCCGTCTACTTCATTGATCGGCTTGCACAAACCGCATTGGAAGGCGAAGTCTTGCTCAACATCTGCCTCTCAAGCAGACATTATCCGGCCATCAGGATTCTCAACTGCCCAGAAGTCGTTGTCGAGGCACACAATGACTCTGATATCTCAACATACATCCGAGACAAGTTGCGTTTTATCCCCGCTAGCGAGAGAAACGAAGCACATGCGATTCAAGCGTTCCTGGAGGAAATGGCGTCAGGTGTTTTTCTCTGGGTCGTTTTGGTGGTGGAGCTTGTTGTGCGAGATATCAATTCCGGGCAACCCATGAGCAAAGTGGCCAAGAGAGTGAAGGGTGTACCGAAAGACATGGAGGACTTATACCACCAACTCTTCCGCAGCCTCACCCCTGACGAGCTTACATTCTCCGTGCCCCTCATTCAATGGGTACTACTTCATAAGGACTACTTGCCACGAACCGGAAACGGTCACTCTTCAGACGCCCCTCCCAAGATTCCCAGAACCCGAGCTGAGGGAGGAATTCGATTTCTTCATCTGGCGGTCCGATTGTCCAGCATCAGCGGAGCTCCAACCAGGCAAAATTTGTCAGATTGGGGATACATTCACCCTGCCGCTCCGCCACCTACAGATCGAATCCTCAGGCTTATCAACAGCACGTCGCGCGGTTTGATTGAGTACAATGCCGACGGCCGTGTACAGTTTGTTCACGAAACAGTCAGGGAGTTCTTCCTTACAGGCCCGGGCTTCGGACTGCTTGACAGCTCGCTGCAGCAAAACCCCCTAGGCCGTGGATATATGGCGCTTGTCACAGGTTGCCTCAACGCACTCGACCTGCCTGAACACTCTGAGCTCACCACCACAGTCAAAATAATTCACCTACACACTCTCTGGGCTCTTGATGATTATTTTAAGGGTGTTGAGATGTATCAGGCGTGGAATCCACGGCTCCTCGACAGGCTCCAGCATCCGCAGTCCAACGCATGGAGAAGAATGCGCAGGAACGAAGAGACTGTCCTGGGCTACATGATTCGAAATCGTCTTGCTACGGGTGTTCTTGCCTTATTGGAGAGAGGCGTGCACCCTGATGACGTGGGAGGTGCTCCCAGTCCCACAGGGGGTCTGATAACAGCATTTGACAGGAGCGCGGCGCATGATTCATTGTTGTTGGACGAACTCTTACAGTCCGGCGCCGATCTTGAGCGCCAGAACGAGACCGTCGACGGTGGATGCTTGGCTACCTTGGAGAGAGACGGTGTCGAAATGATTGATCGCTTGGTGGTTCACCTCGTGAAGTCGTACGGGGACGGGGCTTTGCAAACGGCCATCGACAATTTGAAGACGATGAAAGAGTTCTGGCCTTACTATGACGCCCTCTTGATGAAACTGACGGCACGTGCTGCCGAGATCAACGCCCTTCCTACACAGCATACAACGCTCTTCAGGGACCCCAAAACACATCGAGACAGTGCTGGGCACTGCGACCATGGCGGTTACCCTCAAGCCTGTGTAGATGGACCGCAGGGTTTGGCAGAGTCTTCCCTTGACGAAGTACTTGAAACAGTGTGTGACCATCTTCTCCGTCATGGAGCCGACCCGAATCTTCGAGACAAAGACCAAAGAACACCCCTTCATCATGCAGTCATGAACTTATACCCGAGAGCTGCGGCCCGCATCATCGCAGGTGGGGTTGATGTGAACGCTGTCGGTTCCAATGGATGGAACGCCTTGCATTATGCCGCCTTTTATTTCAGTCGAGGTGATCAAGACGCACAGTTGAGCGGGGAAATGGCCAAGTTGCTCACGAACTCGGGTTGTTCACGGAATACACTGAACAATGATAACAAAACCCCTATGGATCTTGCAATTTCTATTCCCAGAGTATATGGCTTCCCTTCTGTACAACCATGGCATGGACCGAACCGGTTGTCCGAAGAAGAGCTAGGGCTATTATTTGGCGACCCAAACAACAACCCTCGGTCTGCATAATGGACTTGCGACCTGTGAGAGCCTTCATTTGATCCTGCAAGTGCCAATAGGGGTAAGAGTTTGATAATATAGGATTACTGGGCCAGGGAGGCACTGGGCCAGGTCATGCCTCGGCTGTTGAAGAACTAACTAGGTTAGGTAGTCGGTCAGTCTGAGGTTACATAAGGTTTCCCAACGGCACTGAGTAAGAACCTGACTGATCAAGCGGGTCTAGGATTTATAATAGAAGTGCATAACGTCGCCCTTCGCTACAATCTCAAAGCTCTCGGTTATGAGATTAGCGTCTTGCGTACATGCCCGGGATGGCAAGCTGACACTTCACGAACAGCCCTTTCCGACCCTTATGTCATCATGCAGACTCCCTCCTTGCTTAGTCCACAGTGGTGCTGATGTTCCTGCAGCGTAGAACCAAAAAGGGAGTTACGAGCTGCTGAATCTTTTCACTGGAGTAACTACATGCTGATGCCAAGGCCCTACCACTGGTCCACTTGCTCACTTGCCTTTGTGAGATATCATGATATTGACTCCAGTCAGTCGTTTTCGTCAGCAACTGGGCATGTAGGTGAGCTGTTGTAGATGCTCGGCTTTAGGAGCCACTGTACGAATCACTGAATCAAGGAGACGACAAGGCTCAGTTCCCACCTTGTTCGTTTACAACTTCCCATTTCAGAGATGGTGGATAGGCTGAACTTGCATCGTAGAACAGAAACTCCAAGTATAAGAGCCCCGTATCCCGTCTCTCTCAACTGCTCTTCTTTCTTCACAACACCTACAACCTCATCGCCCACCAGCCTAACAGCAATCTTCTCGGCGACCAAACAACCAAGTCCTTTCCATCAAAATGAAGGCCTCATTCTCCTCTGTTCTTGCCGCCTTGGCCGCTTTCAACACTGCCCTCGCTCTCCCCACCGAGGCCAGTGCCAGTAACGTGGCTAAGGCTGGGTTGCCTGAGGGTCTTCCAGATGGTATCTACATCGAAAAGCTGGCCGATGATGGATCAGTCGCCTTTGAGCGTGTCGCAGATGTGAACATCACCGCGCCTGCCGAAGTGGCCTCGCTGCACAAGCGCCAGGGCAGTTTTGGCCCTCACTGCGACTACGACCGAGCCGGATGGCTTGATTCCAATAACCGCCAGAACGCTATCAACGCGCTCGCCAACGGTTGTGGCGACGGTTGGTTTTTCAACGCACCGAGGGTTTTGTCGAGTAAGTCAATACAATATCCTTTTCATCAATCGAAGTGGTGTCATTCCAACTAACATCCAACGCAGGCGTGAATGGTGCCTTTGCATATGGCTGCAACTACCAGGGAGACAGAGGAACGACCTGCCGCCGCAATGAGATCCACAACTTTCTCGGTCAAACTACTAGCCACTGCGGCACCACGACTCCAGGCTGGTTCTCGTTTGGCCAGGGGACAGTGAGCTACGGCTACACCCTCCCCAATGTCGGTTTCTGCTAAGGGCTAGCACCCTAGTCAGTCTTGACAAGCAAACGGGTGGGCGTGAGGGCGGGATCTGGACGATTCTGAACGGAGGGGTGGGGGTGCGTGGGAGACGATGACAACAGTTCTTTTTCAAATTGATCGCACGGGTCTAGCTTAGCCTCGGCCCTACCTTCTTTCCTGTTCTAAGAGTAGCTACCTTGGATACATTTCACATTTGATACTAGATTCGCCGGCAGAAGTATGAACCTATATAACAAAACTTGCCCAATTTGCTAGCGAGTTTCTGTCGACATGTGTGTAGAATGCCAAACCTTTTTTTTATTCACAATGCTTAAAATCAACATGATAACAGACTAACAAACCCTCAGCTTTTGCCAACAGATGATGACTTCTTCCCTTCAGTGACCCAAGCATTGTAAGCCTTGTAGTCCTTGTTCACCGTTCCCTGTCGATGGTTCCCAACATCCTTTGGCAGGTACTTCTCCGCTACATCCCCGTTGGGAAAGCCACGTCCAGACTGAAAGACGTAGATACCGCCAAGCACGAAGATGGCGCCGATTAGAGTTGTCAGTCTAATGCAGAGCTGGTCAGTGCCTGCCTATTCAAGAAACAGCCCTGACCTCTGTCATGACCTACTTGTTATCTCCAGGTCTGAATTTGGGAATGTAGGTTGAGCCTGGTTTACGAGTGACAAATGCCATGCTTCTCTTGATGGAAACGCCAGAAATGGGACGGATAGGAGGAAGCAGCGGAGGCATGCAGCCGGTACCGGCCATGAAGCTGCGTTGAACTGGGCGGAGGATGACACGGTTCATGCTGGCGTCGGTGGTGTACCTATGCTGGAGTGGTGAAGTAAAGCCAAATAATTTAACACAAATCATATACCCTATCACTTTAACCGAAACCGTCTCCTGTAAAGACTAGAAATCGGAGGAAAGCCATTTCCAGAGTACGACGTGTAGGTGACGCAATGTCGAGGTCAGTGGTGTTGCGCGCCACCATAGGAGGTCTGAGCGGACTCGTCCCTTTTCATTCAATCCCTAAGCTTTCCGTGGTAGTTCCTTGCTTTCTGTAAACCAGTGGCGTAGAGAAAAAAATAAAAGACGGCTTGCAAAGAACACTAAGATGACTACCTATTGACAGAGTAAGCTTGGCCCCTATTTACCCCTATTGACCCCTGTCTCCACACAGCATCAGCACCATTCTAGATTCCAATCCCCACAAGAACGACCCCTTGCCCCTTATTGTTCTCTATATACACATCCCGTATCTTACACCCCGTAGCCAGTAGGCACCGGCACAGAAGTAGGACAAGGCAAATCATAAAAGAACGTCCCCCACCCGGTATAACACTGATAGCAAGGCGTCCTGGTCGGGCACACCGTCGTCGTCACTATTTCAATCTCGACGCTCGAACAGCCGCATGACCTGGTGGCGGCAGCTATTTTCTTGTCATCAGCACACCTACTCTCCATTCACCGGGTCAGCAGAGATAGCAAATTTACCATCAATGATACAAAAGCCAGTCGAGCAGGTTAGATCGCACCCGCTGCTGGAGTAGAAAGTCTGGGTGCCGGTGAATGTGCAGTAGTTAGGTAGGCTGGTCGTCTCCATTGTGGTTGGCGGGGAGTGTCCGTCGTCTGTTTCGGTGATGGTGGCGGTTGGGAAGTGCTCGGTTACGGTGCTGTAGCGGGTGGTGAATGAGGAGCAGCCGGCCCTGCGTGGTGTGGAGATTTTATTTGCGAGGGTGCTGCTCGAGATTAGTCTGCGATGAAATATGTAGTTCTTGAAGGGGGATGCTACCTGGCAAGAAAGAGCGCAAGTACAGAGACAAAAAGGCGGGTCATGTTAGCTGCTGTGGGCATGATTACAGGAGGTTAATGGATGCAGGAACCGTGATGAGGACAAAGAGGGTTTTATGGATGAGCAGTGAGACTTGATCTCTGGAAGGGACTGGGGAGCCAAACCGGAATGACCAGACATCAGCGGTGATGTACGACTGAATCAGTGGAACGGGGGGCTGAGAAACGCTCGGTGTGTGAATGAGGCTTCAAGTAGTCGCCCATCTCGCGACAGAACGGTTAGCCATCATGTGAGGTTGCATTAAATTCCAAGCCAACCATATTTCTTGGTTCGCTTGCACTTACAGCTCACTTTTACCTATGTCAAAGGAAGAGATGGTAGAATATGACTGCTAACTGTCAAATCATAAGCTGCATCCCCTGGGCTTGTTCGTCAACAGCCTGCAGTGTCACCTCGTGTGCGACTTGGTGGGTATCAGTGCCCCGCATTCTTACCATTCATATCCATGGTCCGTACTAGATGTAGCATGATGCAGGGACGTTGAACCATCCGGACTGAAAGGGGTAAAAAGGGGGGCGGCCTTATGGAACGTACGGGCTGCGGATCCAACAGCTGCAGCTAAGATCGAAACTGAGCCGATAAAGTATTTGCTTTAAAATTAAAAGTGCAACGACTCTCATGGTTGTAAGTTGGTCTAGACATGATCGAACGATCTTCCAAGGAAAGGCAGTCCAAATAACAGGTAGCATAGCTTGAGGATCAGCTAAGATGCAGTTCCTTGCAAGTTACTGATGCCGATAATAGACTTGTTACTATGAGAAGAACGTGCCTTTGTCTTTCCTATTTGACGATTACAATATCTTTCCTTGCAAAAAAGGAAATCCTTATTTGCGGAGGGCTCCTTTGTTGTAACCGCTATTTTAAAGAACAACTCCTATGTTCAAGCGATCCTCTACTGCCACGGGACATGATTCTTTGTGACTCGAAGTAGATATATAGAGCCCTCTAGTTCACCATCAAATTCAATTCTTCAGGCCAACGCACCTCAGTCAATCAATCACAACCATCTATTCCATTTGTCAACGAATATGTGTATATATATATACCCAACCAAGTCAGTCCCTACCGACACCATAACCAAAGATGTCTTTCAGAATGAACATCAGCAACCTGCTCAACCCAACTCGGGACTCAGCCAAGTGTTCGAGGAGTAACACGACGAAGCAGAGTCAGTCTTGGGCCGGGCCTCCCGCTCAGGTTTCGTACGGCCCCAGGCCCCAGCCTGCCAAGTACAACGTCCAGCAGGGCAGACAGAACCTCAGCAAGCTTGGAAACATGCTTGCCAGCCTCCCTCCTGTTTCTACCCCCAACGGTAAGCCCCCAAGTACGACTTTCAAAAGTCTCAGAAGAACATCCGTACTCTGAGCAACATGTTGGAGAGCATGTCCGCCCCTTCCAAAAAGAGGTAAGGGGAGCGTGGACAGCATACCTAGCCAGCAGATGTAAAGCAACCAGGAAATATTCCTGAAGGCCTGGCACACCTTGCTCAACGGCCGAGCCCTACATCGCAAAAAGCCCTAGACAAAAGTCATGGGACAGGATCGATAAGAACCAATCTAATTTCATTCGTACCAATTATTACAACTTTCTTTGTTGCCCCGAGTTATTGTCACCGGCGCATGTGATGATGTTCAGGAGATGAGTATGTTTATTAAGTATTAACAACAATAAAGAGATGTCAGCCGATGGCTAATCTGCTATCCAACAAAGTACCGTAGGTATCATTAGCCCAAGACCCCAACGACTCACAAGGTGACAACCGCATGCTTATCCAACTCCGTAACTCCAGTCATTATCCAGCCTCACATTCCATATCCAAAGAGGTCATGATACACCCTTCCACTCTTTTGCATTACACCTTCAGACTCGCGACCCTCCTCCTCCTCCTGATTCTCCTAATAACCAAGAAAAACAGCCCACAAGCAAGCAGAAACATAATGGGCAGCCTCCACCGTGACCCACCCACCGACTTGCCCAAATTCACAATCATAGCGGCATCATATGAGTGCCAACTCGAGCTTCCAAGATGCTTGAATAGGGGCGTGTTGACAGGTCCGCTCAGCATATGCAGCTTTTTGTTGTCCTTGGTACCGCCCAAGATCTTCAACTTGCTGCGATCACCGCGGAAGAAGGCATGAATAGTGGAGGCGTAGTGACACCCAGTCGAGAACATGACTGTCGGATAGGGAAGTCCGAGCCAGTGCCTGTTGTACCTCTTCAGGTTGGCAACCAGCTCTCCGACAAACTCGTTGCCCTTCTCAGCCATCATGAAACCGATCGAGAAGCCAGTTGGGTTTGCGGCGGGAGCGACAAAGTCGAAGCGGCGGAGAGGGCCGAGGGCGCGCTTGCATTGGAGGTCCATATCCAAGATGACACCTGTGAAACACCAGTCAGTTTTTGCCGCCACCTTCCAAACTCGGAGAAGATAGAAAACCTACCCCCATATCGATACAAAACCATATACCTCAGCGCATCCACTTTCTGAATACCATACCTGTACCCGTCTTCCCCCTCCCACAGCCCCAGCATCTCAGGGTAGTGCTCCCTCACCAGCTCATCAGCCTTCTCATCCGTCCACAACATGGCCTCCCACCCAGGATGCAACTCCACACACCTCTCCCTCGCCTCCTGCCACCCCTCCTTCTGATTCTCCTGCGGCCCCAGGGCAATATGGTGCAATATACCCGGCACCCTATCCTCATATCCTTCTTCTCCCCTGGTCGACGTCTGATTAACATCATACGACTCAAACGTTACATCAAACCCATCATTCTCCACCGAGAGATAGAAACTCGAGGCACCCTGCCTCCATTTCAACAGCGGCAGCGCAGCAAGCGTGTACGAGTCATACACCAGATCCCTTGCGCACCAGAGCCCTACTATCGCAACAGTGATAAGCAAGCAGGCTATCCTCTGGAGGATGATACCCGACCGTCGCCGCGTGGAAGGGGAGGAGGTGCGGGAGGACCGAGGAGTTTTGGAAGTAGGGGTGGAGTGGTGGCGGGTGTGGTGGAGAGGAAGGAGGCCCATTTCTTTCGTTTGTGTTGTGCGATTGTTGTCATTCGCAACGGATTGTCGTAACGGTCGACCGAAGAACGGGGGAGACCGAGGGCCCGCGCTGGCAGTGTCAGGCTCTGAGACTGGCGATGGGCGACTCGAGTAATGATTGTGGCTCGTCGATGGGTCTGGTACCGTATAGCGAGCACGAGATGGCAAACAGAAAGACGCAAACCGAAAAGATCAAAAGACGTGGTGGGCTGGGAACAAAGACGGCGCCGAGGAGCTGGGCACCCCCCCACTCGAGTCACTCTCGGCGCCGCTCAAGGCCCGGTCGACGCCATTCCATCCCATCCCATGTCATGGGGGCCACACGAATGGTCCTTCTTTCGTGGTGTGACCCCAGCCCAACAAAGAAAACACAGATCATTGGAAGGAGCGTTTCTTTGCGGCTGATGGCCTGGCATGTACCGAATGCAGGATGCTCATACTGTGTAAGCTGGGTTGATACCAAGCAGGGATCGGTGGGAGCCCCTCGACCAGTTTGGCATGGCCAGATTCCAGCCTGATGGACGCCAAGTCAGCGCTAAGAGCTTAATGCCGCTGCCTTGCATGGCTCTCGCATCTTCAGGGCGTCTTACTCGTTTTGGCACATCACCCGCGATTCGAATCATTTCCAAGCCACAGTTGTATTTCTAATTTCTTTGTTTCTAGGTCTTGACGGCTGTCCTGAATGCTTCGTCAGCAGCCGTGTGAGGAAGCCTCTTCAGATCATTAAACCAGACATATCGGCTCAAAATCATGTACAAGTGCCGATCCCAGCTGTACTGGCTGTCGTGCTGGGCAAAAGCACGACGGGTCAAGAGATATCGGTGCCAAGTATTCGCAACCAAGGCCGTGCCGCCTTCACGGACTTCAGCTGTGATGGCGGGGTAGGATAGCGCCTCGATAATGCGCCACAAAAAGGGCAGCACTGTGTAAGGGAGGTCGCCCAGGATGGTGTATTTTCGGAGTAAAGAGGTGGTCGTCAGCGTGTACGCGATGGGCGACTGGGGATTCGTCGCAGTGTAGTGACTTTGTGACGCATTTGTCAGTTGACAGCTCGCTGGGCGAATGTGTCCGAAGGCCATTGGGTTGGGCTCGGGTGACGGAGAAACAAACTAACCTGACGGCGGCGCTGACCGCTCTGTGGTTTATGTGTCCGCTCACTCCACCTTCGTCGAATGTGATGATCTGCAGGGTTGCACTGTCAGCCCTATCAGAAGGGAGATTGGCTTTTTTGGGGGCCACGGGGCCTAGAACGGGCACCAACAGCATCAATGTCCCATTTCCTCACGTGCTCATGCACAAACCCTTCGATGAGCTCAGTGTTCCACCACTCTCTGGGGTTATCTTGGAGGTCAGGATGGTCAAGGGCAACGCAGCGATCCGCCGAGATGCCGAGTGCTTCACACGAGCCGGCGAGCTCAGTTTTCCTGGTGTCTCCTTTGCCGTAGTTGTTGCCTATCAATATCAGGGTTCAGTATGTCAGCACCGGGGCCCCTCAATGGCTAGGTTCGGAGACTTTCTGGAGAAACACACCTGTGGACATGACCAGCAATCCACCAGTCACCCGCTTGTTCCGATCAAGAACTCCGAGAATGCTGGGAGAGAAGAATAGGCACTCGTCGTCGGGGTGGGCTGTCACGAGCAGGAGGTTTCTGGCGAGAAGAAGCTCGGGTGGAAGAATTCGGGCATCGCTCCCAACGACATAGGCGACCAGCCACTGGAGAATTAGCGGCACAATCACTGCGAGCACGGCAAGCCGAACAAGCCAGCGCGAAGCCCGACGAGGGATCATGCCGAGCAGTTGCGCAGGCTTCCCGGCCAGCTTCTGCATTGGGGGTGCTGAGGAATCGTGGAAGGAAAACAAGACAGAAATACAGAATCAGTTCATCCGAGCTGGCAGCACAAGAAGACTCGGGTGAACAAGTGAGTGTCTTGTATGTACAAGTAAAGAAAGATAAGGTAGCATCGGGACGGAAGGAGGAGGGCGTGCGAAATATGGTCGTTGCACACTGTGTACCCGACCAGCTGGCAAGGGTTCCGTCAGCGGTATCACCTTCAGCTGGAGCTCTGTCTCACCTCGCTGTCCACAGACGTTTGCGGCAGGCGTCACGCGGGCCACTCCGCTGGCCACTCCGCTGGGCATCCCGAGAAAGAACGCATATCTCTTCTTCGTTTGTGTCGTCCCGTTGAAGTCCAGTTGGATGTTTTGTTGATTCAGTCGACCGACCGAGGTTGAGATAAACTTTTTGGACCCTGGAGCAGTCCCATCTTTTGCCATGCTTGGCGATGCAAAAGTCCACCACAGCACCGATTCTTCGGCGCGGGCCGTAGCGGGGGGGTCCAGTACCACCACCACAGCACATTCACACTCGCGCCAATGGCTTTCGTCTGTCCAACGTTTGTCTCTGTTGATGGTAGCTAAGTCTCGTGCAATTAGTTTCATTCCGACTGGACACTGGGACTGATTAATTACCGACAGCTGGTCCTCCAGAACTCGGCCCTGGTCATGGTCATGCACCATTCCCGCAACAGCCCAACAGGATCACGACCCCGATATCTTACATCAACAGCCGTTCTAGTTGTTGAAGTTGTCAAGCTATCAGCCTCATTACTCCTCGCCATCTACGATACTATTGCTTCTCATTCCTCATCTTCATCAGCAGCAATAACTCAACATCTCTACCGCTCCATCTTTGCCCCAGATAGTTGGAAGCTCATCGTGCCCGCAGCCCTCTACACTCTTCAAAACTCGCTTGTCTACACGGCCATCAGCAACCTCGACGACGTCACCTTCCAAGTCACATACCAGCTCAAGATTCTCACCACGGTCCTTTTCAGTATCCTGCTTCTCGGCCGGACCATTTCTCTGCGTCAGTGGCTGGGGCTTCTCCTCCTCACCTTCGGTGTAGCCCTTGTGCAACTATCACCAACAACACCAGATGTTAATAGTGCCACCAGCTGGACAGACAAGATCACATCCTTATTCACCTCCCCATCCCAACCTCCTGCTGTTCATCACAATGCCCTGAAAGGGTTGGCCGCGGTTGTGGGAGCGTCCCTCATTTCAGGCCTCACATGCGTCTACTTCGAAAAGATCCTCAAGGATTCCCTAGGTTCGAACACCAGCTCCATATGGATCAGAAACGTACAGCTATCCTTTTTTAGCATCTTTCCTGCACTGTTTATTGGGGTGATATGGTATGACGGAGCCAATATTGCGCAAAATGGTGGATTCTTTGCCGGGTACAATGCCGTGGTGTGGGCAACGGTCTGTCTGCAGGCGCTTGGGGGTTTGATTGTGGCTGTTTGCATTGCGTATGCGGACAATGTGGTCAAGAACTTTGCCGCCAGTTTGAGTATTGTGGTTAGTTATGCTGGGACGGCGGTGGTTTTTGGGGAGAGGATGACGCTTCATGTGGGTTTTCTTTTTTTGAATCATGTACCTATGGAACTGATACTGATCGTATGGACTAGGCCACTATGGGTGCAGCTGTCGTTGTGGCCGCCACATGGCTGTACAGAAGTCGGCCGTCAACTCAACAACTGGGGACACTGTTGCCTGTTAGTAGCAGGGAAATCGTGACAGGTGAGAAGATTCCAAGATCGCCGTTGTTATCCCCAACTACGATACGATAATACGGCAGTGAATTGAATAGATTTGGATAGAGCATTGAATAATGAAGATTGGATTGTGTCCCTTTGATGTGATTCAGTTGCACACAACAAACACCATGAAGCATCAACTGACGCGCACCACGAAGCAGGTGTACTATAAACATGCTCCATCTGGCAGACTTTGATCATCTACCTCAACATGTTAACTCTGGTCCACTTGGGTCGGAGTATTTCGGTGCATTTGTACATTCGGTGACTTTCCTGTTTCGGCCACATCCCTCTAATCCTGCCCTTGGCGATCCGCACCACCACCACAGGCTCGCCTTGTAGCTGCAGTGTAACCCTTCTTTTCAACGCCCTACTCTGATCTCCTCAGCCGCACTGTTGTCCTACAGTATCTTTCATCTTTTTTCCCTTTCATCCCCTGCTGGATAAACCAAGTTAATCACTCTAAATCGAACAACACTATCTTGACAACCCTTCTCTGGTCAAACCGCCTGGTTTGTTTGTTTGTTTCCATCTCAGGCTGAAAGAACAAAAACAAGAAACCACTCAAAGCAAAAAAAATCATGAAACCCAAAATCCTCTTCCTCCACGGCTCAGGCACAAACCCCCTCATCTTCCGGATCCAATCCCGCAATCTTTTGTCCCTGTTATCTCCCCATTTCGAGCCCGTCTTCCTCCCCGGCTTCCACGAGTGCGCTCCCGGTCCGGGGGTCTTGCCTTTCTTTGAGGGGGCAGAGCCCTACCTCAAGTGGCTCGATGATTCCTCCCCCTCAGAAGAAGAAGTCTGCTGGGCAGAGCTAGATAGATTGGTAGCCGAGGTTGAGAAGAAAGGGCCGTTTTTGGGGGTGGTGGGGTTTAGCCAGGGGGCTAAGGCGGGGATGGAGTTGGTTAGGGAGTTGGAGAGACGGGGGAGGGAGATGAGGTTTTGGGTTGGGGTTTGTGGGACTGTTCCTTTTCAGGGTGGGGGGGATGAGGTGAGGGAGGGGGGTTGGAAGGAGAGTTTGGGGTTGGGGAGGGCGGAGAGGACGGAGAGTTTTCATTTGATTGGGGGGGAGGATCCTTGGAGGGGGGAGAGCGAGCGGTTGGTTGGGTTCTTTGGGGAGACGGGGAGACGAGTGAGGAGGTTTGAGGGGGGCCATCAGATGCCGCTGGATAAGGGGGTGAATAGGGAGGTGGTGGAGTGGATTTTGGGGGTCTGTCGGATGTAAATAAGTAGGCAAGGGGCATGGTCTGTTGTTGCCGGCGTGTATCTTTGCGTGGTGTGTGGTATGCTGTTGGCGGTGTTCTGACAATTGACTCTGATGGAGTGTGTTTGTTCAAGCGGGGGTTGATCCGTTCCCAGTCTGGCCCTTCTTGGTCCTGTTCTTGGGATGGGACTTGGCCCATGTGTTGTGTCGCCCTCGACACCGCAGGCACCGCACACCCACAAAACCAGACTTAAGTGGCTGTCGGCATCTGGTACAACATCCCTGGTCCTTGAGCCTGCTCCGGGCGTCCTTCTCTTTCTGCCTGCAGTTGTTGCAAGAGTTGACGCCTTTCTGGAAAGACGAAATGGGGTGCGTTGAGCTGCACCGGTGGCACTTTCTGAGCTCCTCGGCGGGCTCATTCTCCTCGCCATCATCTGAACCTTCGTCCACCCCAGACTCACTCTCCTTGTCATCGTCCGAGTCTTCGTCCATCTCACACCCAGGCTCAACCTGATTTGCCTGTGACAGTGTTAGCTCTGCATTTGACTTGTGCAGTATCTCAACATAAAACTTACAAAAACTGGCGTTTCCGAACGATCATCCTCCTCCTCCTCGCGCTCGGATGGGCTCGAGCAAACGGACATTTCGTCCGAGCTCTCCCCAACCTCATCCGCCTCCGCGCGCTGGTCTTGTCGTTCGCTCGCGAAATCTTCATCGCGAGCAGCCAAAGGCTCTTGCGCCGGAGCGCCCTCGATCTCCTCGTCTCCTCGCGGAACCCAATCTCCCAGTCCCACGTCCTAATGCTCATATTAGTCATGAAACTTTGAATCAACTTGTAGATGTTCAACATTTGAAAATAAAAAGCCAGACTACCACAAGATAAAATATGTAGAATAGTGGCCCCCTTCTCACCACACTACCTACAAAAATACCTCCTTTGGACGCTCAGGAATCAACTGGACAGTACCTACCATCAATATATTGGCATCAAGACCCCAAGTCCCCCTCGTCAGGCACGTTGGATGTGCCGTCATTGTTCTCTCGTTCGGGTCGGGATTACACGCAATGCAATATGAGCCCATCCAGGCCTTTTTCCAGTCTTCTTTGGGCATCCTTTCTGGTGGATATCGACCGATATTGTCGATATCTGTGAGTCTTTTCGTCGGAGGAGGTCGGCTTCTTGGGTGATGGTTCTGTCGGGGGGCGAGGCTATTGAGACGGCGGGGGGTTCCAAGGAATTGGGAGATCCTGCGATCAAAGAGCACAGAAAATTAGGATGATATGAGATCTGAAGTGAGTCGCGCGTGGGAGGGTTCTTTGGTAGGTCGCAGGTTGAATTTTTGGAATCAAGGAAGTGAAAGATCAGACGGTGGGGCGCAAGCTGACTTTTCATGGACCCTTCAGATGCTCCTTCTTGCCCGTTACGGGATTTTTACGGGGTTAAAGACGGGGGTAGTGTACGGGGATTTTATCTTGAACTTGACGTGTTGCTCCTCTGCTGTCCTCGTCTCCTCTGATTGACAATCCCTTTTGATGCTTCTTTCTTGGGTCCTGGCAGAAGGACTATAGCTCATTGTCGATAGTCGAGTATGTAGAGCGCACACTTGCATGGCTGCTTCCTTACACGATATACAGCTGAGACATTTAGAGGTTTGAAGCTTCCATCACAATGACATTTTGACTTGACAGACGTTCATGTGATACAGGGAACCCATTTATGAACCTGGAAGGATGGCATGGGTGCATGATAATGAGAGTTGAACTTAACAATGCCAAGCCTAGGTATACAATGATGTAAGGTAGTTCGACTCTTTCACTTCGGGAGCTATTCAGCCCCTTAGTTGTACCATGGGTAGGTATGTTTGTTCATATCTCTCTGTCTTCCGTCCTCACTTTGATCAATATGGCTTACCTACATACATTGTGCCATGCGCCTTATCTCACGAAGTGTAAAAGAGCAAAGACAGTTTACCTTTCCGCTGAAGAGAGAAAAGCATCCAATCATCTCAGAGGGCCATCAAACACCCCCAGACCGCCCTTGAATCGCATCTTGGCGTCATGATTGATGATTTATACAAGTGTAAACAAACCCCCTGAAAAGTGGGTCAATCCCCAGTCCTCAGTGTCAACAGGCATCCTGGACAAAAGGTACGTGGCTGCAATCCTTAAAGGATCACTTCCCTATACATACACGTCTACCAACTGCTCTACCTTCTCCTCACGTCTATTTCCTAGCAACATACCTCACCTTCTCAATCAACTTCCTACACTCTGGATTATTCCACGCACCAAGCGCTATCACTGGGATCTCCAGCTTCGTCCAATCACCCCCAAACTCCACTAACCGCCTCCCCTTTTTATCCTCAGGTGCATACAACCCAACACGCATGTTCTCCTCTACCGACTGCAGCTTTCCCGAGTTAAGCGGGATAAAGTGTATAGACTTGACAAGCCTCCTCCACTCATCGTGATGTCCGGCTTCAAAGCGAGAACGCTCAAGCGTTTTTGTGTATGCTAACAACAGAAACCGAGAGGTTCGAGAGTGCCAGGCTTCGTTTTGGGGGCGGAGGAAAAAGAATCTCGAGTACCAGGCTGCGGTTTTGCTTTCTTTGACAAGAGACTCAAGGATGTTGGTGATGGCTGCTTCTGTTGGGAAGAGGTTGAGGGCGTAGTCGCTTAGCACGACTTCTAGGTCACTTCGGCGGTATTTTGAGGATAAGGACAGAGACGCGAGTGTCGGTGTGGTGTTGGGACTGGCGGCGAGATTGCCGCTCTGACGCCTTGTTATGCGAGAGCTTGGAAGCCGAGCAGAAGGCTCGGGGAATGTGAGGGGTCCGTTCAAGACCTCCGGGACTGAGGTTTCGTTCTCGGGATCGGGACCCTCAGCGAGAGCAAGGCGAAGGTCGCTCATGGCGTGGAGCTCCTGTCGGTCAGGGTCATCTTCGGTTTCGAGGACAGGGAGGACGGAAAGCCAACGAGGCAGTGTCGCGCAGACTCCACCGTCTCTGCAGATCCCATTCCCCTGCCGTGTATCATAACTTTTGAGAAGTTCCATGGACGGGAGGAACTGGATCCAGGTATATCGAAGCGAAGGAATCTCGGACAAGTCCTTGAAACATTTGGCCATGGCCCGGGTGTGGAAGTCGGTCATCTTATGGTCTTGGTGTATTCGTCGGTGGGGTTTTGTGTGGTCAGGTACACCCCATCTGTCTGCATGTATGAGAAACTACAGCATCCAAATGTCAGCCTTGCACCCCATAGTCGAGTGAAACCGCCGGACTCACCTTGAACGGACTGGGTTTCCTGTAAGCATAGGAGAAGCTGTCTTCATCCTTTGTCCACGGACCAACCCCATGCTGACAAACTGGAAAGGCCATAGCAAGGCAGTTACGGGCGCCGCTATCCAAGATAGATTTTTTTATCACATGAAACCGGGTTGTGTTTTCGGAAGTTTTTGGGCTTTCGGCGTGGCCCCCTTTGCCCTTGCGAGCATGACGGACGACCTGAGTGCAACTGCGTAGCTCGACACAATGACTCTCATCTTCTACAGGGCGCCAACTAGCCCTTCTCGACCACTGCTTTGTCTCCCCTCGTTCGCCAGTAAAGGCGTCGTTTTGCAGCGTGAGAGATCGAATGAAATAGAAAAACAGCAAGCCTCGAGGGTCCAGAGACCGCATTTGCCGCTGGATGTCATCATTTTGACGCTTGCGAGTCCATCGTAGTCTCTTTGAGAATGGGTATGTAGTTTTGCATGGCGGCACCCTAACGTTCCCCTGGTTGTCAATCATGCGGACACGAATGCCATTTTCATCAACCTCGATAAAGACACTGACGTGGAAGTCACTATCGATGCCCTTGACGTTGACAGGAGCTCCTAAATCCAAGTCAAGCAAGAGTTGAGCAAGATCAACAGTCTTCTCATCGCGTTGGGTCTTCCTGCGGGAGTGTCAGCAAGCAGTTGTGGGACAAGGGGCCATAGGGGGTGACAAACATGGCGGCAAAATGTCGAGTATGAAGAATGCACAGGATCCCATCATGCAGGAGGTTCCAAGGGCTCGTTTTTATAAAATATATTCGTGAAATGGTACAACGTGATGCCATCCGCGTGTGGACGTAGCGAGAGCGTTTTGGGGGCGTTGTTGCCTGAGATTCTGGCGCTAAGGCGTTGTTGCCTGGCGGCCCCTGTAGGCTGGTAGGCACACAGCACACAAGCACCTGGACACAAGTTATCCACGATGACCGCCCGCTCTGGACCCAGATAATGCACAGAGATGCAAGCTGGAGCTGAAATCAGCTGATTGGAGTTGTCAATTCCCAGAATCACCAAAAAAACGACGCGAGCCGGATTTGAACCGACGCTTCCGAAGAAATGAGATTTCAAGTCTCACGCATTAGACCACTCTGCCATCGCGCCTTCTTTGTTATTATGGAAATTGTGGAAAGTTGTGGTGTGATGTGGCTAGCAGTCACTGGTTCTGTTGTCTCCATGTTGTGAAGCTACCCTGGATGCGCCAAGAGTTGCCCCTCTATTTTTGTGCTGTTTGCTGCCCCTCCATTCACCCCCATCAATCCGACGTCCATCCATCCAGCACGAGCTCAAAATAATAACCCAAGCAGCATCGCCAAGGCATATCAGCATCTCACTACAAATTCGACTGACAGGAATCGGAAATACCTGTGAAATGGCTACAGGTAAAACGACAGCAGAACAATTGTCGCCATCAGAGCCCAATGACTCATCTACAAGTCTCCCGATTCGGACCAAACCAAACGCCAAAATAGCAGAAATGGAACCAGGTCCAGAGCTAGACAGCTACATCGAGTCCCTCCTGGCACAATGGAGAACCTGCATAGACGAGCTTAGCACCCTCGCCAATGCTTCCAAAGACGCATCTCGGCCCATCTACGGACTCTATCCTCTCCTCAAAGTCCAGCAGCGCGCATTGTATAAGGTGGTTCAAAAGCGAAACACAAAATCTGACAATGGCAACAACATTTCCGCCGCCCAGTACATGGGTATAAGGTCTTGCTGCTGGGATGACCGGTGGTCTCTGGTCAAAAAGTGTCATGGGCTGGTGGCCATCAACAAAGACTTCCCGAGGAGTCCTCGCATCGCGGTGCCGACTGGTAGCGGGTGGTTGGCTTACAAGGACCAGCCCTTTCAAGAAAAGGTTGTCACTGTTGATGCCGTCGTGGATAATGGAAAGACATGGATAAAGTTTCTGTCCATTTCCGCTAGGACACTGGAGTATCAAGTCATGGCAGAAGGTTGGGAAAGCGATGCTGATTCTGAGGACGAAAGGGATGAGGCTGGTGACGACGAAGGAAACGGGTTAGGCCATACCGAATTCGTCAATGCAGTCTCCAAGGTCATCTTGGCTGCGAGGTGGAATCACTGCCGTCACCTTCATCTGATCTTGCCTGGCCTCCAGGAAGGACAATCAGCTGTTGTCGACAGGGTGCTGGATCACATTAAAAACAAGGTTGGCGGAACCGATGTCAAGGTCGATCTGAGCTGCGCAGGAAGTCCGTTCCTTGTCAACGACCCTCCTCCTCTTGAAACGGCCATCCAGACTCTGATTCATGAGCGTGACCTGGTCGTCTCTCCAGACGACTGCAATACAATCACCGAGACCGTCAACCTGGACCCTAGCGCACTCGTGGCTCTCGTCACAGATCTTCATCATGGCCCCATCCCGCTGCAGCCTCTTGTGCAGCAAGAAATCATCACTCGCTCTGTTGCCGACCACGAAACCGATAATAATGAGCTGGTGTCTCGTCAAGACATCCTAGCCACAGTGCTGCATCCTGCCTTGCGGGGCAAGAAATTGGTGTGCACCGAGTTCGCCGCAAAATACTTTCGCAAGCTCATCAGCGCCATCTCAACCCACTCGGAAGAGACCCGCGCATCCTTCATCATCCCGCCTTCGGCCGACCCTACCAGTCCACCACCTTCGGCAGACGAACTGCGCCAATCCCTCCAGAAATGGTCCACCGTCCCAGTTCCCGGTGACCTCCAACTCCCGGTTCAAGTCGTCCCAGACATCACCCATGACGAGGTCCCTTCTCTTATCTCTTCCGGCCGCCTCCCTCCCATGGCTCTCGGCGTATCCAGCGACCTTTCCTTGCTGAACCGCTCTGTTTACCTATACGGCTGGGCCAACGATGTCACCACTGTCACCGGCCACCGCGGCATCGAGCGTCAAGTCCAGCTCTCGATCGCGTCCCATTGGACTCATGACCCAGACGCGTCACGCAAAGGAAAGTATCCGGACCAGAGACCGCCAGACATCTGGCATCGGCATCTAGGCGGGTACCTCATCCACCGAGACAAGCCAAAGGACTGGAGGGACATGCTGCCGGATGGTGGGGATGTGCCGGAAGAGGTGGTGAGATGGACGTTTCCTTGGACCACATGGGGGAGAGGGATCAGTACGTACGGGCTGCCGGATACAAAGACTTGGGAGGGGGTTGGTCATGAGGACAAGAAGTCGTTTGGGAGGAAGATGACGGGGCGAGATGGGACGAGGGAGAGGAATGGGAATGGGAAGCTGAAGGTGCCTGAAGGAGAGGTGGAGGAGGGTGAAGAGAGGGAAGAGGAACAGTCGTGATGACAGCATATAACTTGGATCGACCACACGCAAATAAATGATCACCATCCACGCCGTTCAACATTTTTCTTCCCGCGACGATCATGTTTGTTAATCCGCGATCTTGGGTCTGCCACGATCGAAATCGGACGGACGAGGCCAATGCCCCTGACTAACGCGATCGGGGGCCCCGACCCGGGGGGGTTTACCCGCCGTGAGAGGTGGGTCCAGGGGCTCGGGCGGTGTTCTGGAACCATTTTCTTGGCAAATATTGACATGGCGATAGCGCCCGCAATGTCGGGCTTGGCGCAGGTGTCAACCGCAACGTGGGAGCTGTCGCTGGGCGCGCACTGCCTGTCCGTGCCAGATTGCGTTCTGCTGGGCTGGTATCGGTGAGACGGTGGTGTCGACCTGTGTGAGATTGCGAGAGCTGATAACATTTTGTTTGCCGAGATGGCAGCGGCGTGTCGGTATCACCCCGAAATCCAATTTCCAAGGTTGCCGCCGCTTGGGTTTCGCGTGACGAACGCTAGGTACAGAGTCTCTACTTCGTAACCTCCCGACCGAGATTAGCCATTTGGCCGATACGTGATATGGTAATTTTGACAGCCGGCCGGTGGTGAAGAAAGTGCTTGATGAAAGTGTTGGGGTCAAAAGAAGGGAAGGCCTGAGAGCGGGCCCCAGCAGCAATGACAAACTGAAAAGGTGATGTTAGATTGAGGCTCCACGCAAAGCCCCCCCTTTTTTCCCTTTTTAGCAGAAAGAAACTCTTCATCTTCTCCTTCATTCCTCCATTCTCACTCGCTCTCTCCTCCATCTTCTTCATTCCTTCATTCCCTTCTTTTCCTTTTCCCTTTTTCCACCGCTCTCACACTCGCCTTCGAGTTGAACTTTCCTCCCTCACAGTCTTTACCTCCCCACATCATCACCAAAAATGGCCGAAGAACAACAGAAGCTCGAGCTCAAGCTCGACGGTGTCGCTGTCCCTCCTGCTGCCACCGCCGCTCCCGCCAATGAGGAGCCTAAGCCCGCTGCTGCTGCCACGGAGGAGACCACCACCGCCCCCACTGCTGACGCTGCCGTCGCCGTCAACACACCTGAGGAGGCCGCCGCCACCGAGGAGACCAAGGCCGACGACAAGAAGAAGGCCAAGAAGGAGAAGAAGGCCAAGAAATCTGACAACGACGAGGAAAACTCCAGCTCGTCATCCTCTTCCTCATCCTCTGCTTCGTCCACCAAAGACAAGAAGAAGAACCCCCTCAAGAAGGTCGCCGCCATCTTCAAGTCCCTGTTTGGGTGCCTCAGCAGTGTCAAGACGGCCGATAAGAAGGTCGACACCGAGGGAAGCGACGTTGAGGGTGAGGAGGGCGCGGCCGACAAGAAGGACAAGAAGAAGAAGGCGAAGAAGACCAAGCTGGAGGCTGTGCCGGAGGGGGAGGAGACGGCGACCAAGAAGGATGACGGGGAGAAGGACGGTGTGAAGAAGGAGGATGAGGAAGTGGTGAAGGGGGCGACGACTACTGTCATCACGGCCCAGGCTTAGGTGCCGAATGGGGGATAAAGGAGAGGGGCGGTGATCGAAACTGGTGGGTGGGTTGTCTTGGTCTCGATGCTGATCGAGCTCCCGCTGACTTGGCTTGGGGCATAGGTGCTTTCTTTGTTATTTGGCTTTTGGTGTTGATGATACCCGAGTCGTGTGTGGAGTAGGTAGTCGGTGAGGGCAAGCGATGAAGGAGAGAAGTCGTGTCAGGCTATCGATGTTCTAGCCGGTCCTCGTGCTCCATAGGGTCTGGAAAAAGCAGAGGCTGGCAAAATGTTTTACTAGGATATTTTTTGTAATCTTAACGCGCCTTTGAATGGTACCAATGTCGACAAGAACTGTGAAGTATCCAATCAGCCAAGTGTGAGAATTGAGTGTCCTTTGCAAGATGCTCTCGAATGTGTGTATATGCACGTAGTCACAAGAGTTTCACTATAAGGAAAAATTATCTATTAATACATAAATAAAATACATACCCTAGGTATTATCAAGTAAAGCAGATAAATAAGCTTGTAATATAGAGATGTAGGAGGTAGTTGACACAAAAACACCAGGGTAGAACATACCTCTGCCACACCATGAGGTTATTTTGGTATCATCTTGAAACTATTTTAATGATAATTTCCTGTGTACCTTAACTAGGAGTGACACAAAAGGAAACAAAAACAAACACAGAAAAATGAAGGAGAACAAGGACTTGATGCTTCACCCCAGGATTTGAACCTGGAATATTCGAGGTAAGTGGGAAGCTGGGGGGGGCAACTCCCTAACGCTGGCTTCCACTCGTACACACTAGATAGCATGTAAAAGCAGCGCAGACTCCAAGTTTCAAACTCTCGAACGAACAAGGAAGCACTAGCGCGGGCGCCTGCATGTGCTCCCACTTACCACTGTACCATGAGAAGGGCTCTCCAATTTGTTGGATGTTGGAGCGGGCATTCCAGCTATCTAGGTCTATGGTCCTGCTCCCAGCTGCCCTGGCAGTGCCAATTCGCCAGCCTTTCCACCGAGGTCACAGTTGAATGCATGCCCGAGAGGTACCATTACTAAGTTAAAGTAAACCAACCACCTGTAAAGGGTTCTAATCAGCTGAAACATGTGTTTTGGTGCTGGTGTTTGGCCCAACCACGCTCCTGCCAACACGACTTACCTGACTGCGACTTGTTAAAATGCACAGTGACTTCCATCCCAGCAGGCCTTTTCAGATTTCAAATTTCGTGGGCTTCAAAATTGAGGACAGTGCCCTAGTGCGGTCAGTGCTGCTGAACAATCTGCCAGTGGGAGCTCGCAGTCGATACAGTCTGGCACTTTTTCTAACCCCCCCCCAACACCTACCTCTGCGACCACCACGAGACTGGAAATCGGCCTCGGCACCCATTTTCGATTAGAAAAGGCTACCTCAACTTTCCACCACTTCCAGGTTATGCATCTCGTAAGTACAACCTTCCATCTTTACCCTCGAACCGATCTGAGTTAACTCTTGACTTGCTCGTCAGCACCATGTCCGCCCCGTCCGAGACACTTCTCAGCGAGTTGGCAGCCAAGCTGCCCGGACTTCTGTTCGAACCCGACCGACCATTGACTCTTCCACGTCATGAAGATCCAAGCATTGTAGACAGGATGTCCAATGGGACTTACCGCTCTCAGCTCATTGCCAGAAGAATCTTCTATCACACTTTCCACAATTGTGCCTGGGGGCTTCTCGCAGCCTGCCATTACCACCGCGATCTTATGGCTGGGGGACTGAGAAGAATGTCGCCGGACCTTTGGAAGGCTGTCAGAGACGGCACCTCATGGGCACAAGGACTGGATGTCGCTATTGTCCGCAGCCTAGCGTTGCAAAATTGCCCAAGCCTCCTGGTGCGGGTTTCAGCACCGTCGTAAAAACGATGGCAACGTACAATCAGCCTGTTGCGCTCTTTCTGTCATGGTTCTGCGGTTTGTGCGTGACATAGCACAATACGAGAACGATACCGAACTGGCCCCCAATTCCTACTTCGGCGAGGAGCGTGGACCGGCATATCGGATAGATGAGCGACTAAGCCGCGCTCGGAACGGGAGGCCAGCCACTATTGCAGTTCATCCCATCACCACATACAGCAGATCCACGAGAATCACCGGCTCGCGGGTCCTGCATGGCAAGCTAACAGCTATGTACAACAAAACCGCCATGCACGGTCTCACAAGTGATGACCCGGATTGGATTACCTGTATTCAATTGACGGAGTCTGGCCCGGAAGTCGGGAAGTCGCACCCGTCTTCATTATCTTTGAGGGAGGCCTTTTCAAGACGCCTGTCTTGCGGTTTCGCCCCGGGGACGGTTCGCATTGAATCAGTTATAGTCTTCAAGGGTGTTGTCGCTGGGGACGTTCCTCACCATCAGTGATAGTCGCGAGACGAGAAGCCGGTACGTACCAACCTTATCTTTTTGTTCCCATAATGAGATGTTTGCGGATGGGATAAGAGCTAACAGTTCGAAGTTTCCTGTTTCATCACCACCCACCATAGTTACAGTGCCACCCAATAGCCCTCCGGTTCTGAAGCTCCACGTTCCCAGTCCAGGAAACAGGGGTTAAATGTGGACGACTAGTATATGGGCGGGGAAGTTGTAACAGATAATCGATAAGAATACATTCTTTACTTCAACCCTATTATTTATTCTTTTCCTCGTATCTTAATCTAAGTTTGGACAAGAGGTGGTGGCTTGGCGCGATGCTGTTCGTGGAGCGTTGGCCCAGCAACCACCAGGGGTATATCCCCCCAACGTTCGACAAAGAGAAGGCTGTATAGAAAGCAAACAAATGTCACGAACATGAGATGGACAATAGCCACAACAGCAAGCGGCTGTAATGCTCTTTGTAGTCTCATCCAAAACCAGATTAAAGAAATGCCGCTCTCTGCTTTGAGGCTGGGGCAAGACAGCAAAAGAGCAGGGTGGGTAGCTGCACAACAAGAGTGTATACATGCCAGAAGATCAGATGACTGAACCTGTGACCCGGAGCTAAAGTCGGATATAGCTACCTACCTACCTATCCGTACTAGCTTTTCCTTCACTTCGCGGGAGAACTCCCTGTAACCATTCTTCCTGTTCAACTCAGCCTCAACATCGAACCCAAAAACAACGACGGTATGCTTTGAAAGTAAATGGAGGTACCTTAACTACCATCCGCAAAGCCATCAGAACCGGATTTTAGAGGTATGGCCGCCATTGTTTATCTCTGTCATTCCCCAAGTTTACCTGCCTGGTATATTTCTCTTTGGTCCGAATTACGCAAGGTACCGCCCGCGTCTTGCAATCCTCGGCAAGCAACGTTCACGATGTATCTGCTTTTGAACCTTCCATCTTGGAGTTTGACTACAATCCTCTCGCCAACCTTGGCAAAGAAAGTGTCGGGAAACATGCTTCTCAGGCTCCCAGACACCTATCCCGGAGTCCCCTAAAAATGTATCGCCGGTAAGTCCGTCTCCACGGCCTATTGGCAGAGAGATACATGCAAATTCTTCAGCAATCTGAGCTCGGTGACCTCCCGCCCGCCCCCCACCCTGTTTCGTCCAAGCCGAGACAGAAACCAGGATAAACATCGCCGCCACAGTGGGAGCTTGTCCTCTGGAGCTTCCTTCAAGATTTTGCGGGCCCAACTTTGACATGACGCGCCTGCTTTTGCGGATGTGAGGGGATTTGGTGCACGGCCAGGGGAGGATGGAAGAGGCCCGAGATTCCAACAACACAGAATCTCAGCCAAGACTGCTGGTTGAATTGACAGAGCGCAAATGCCATGTTTGTGATGCACAAAAAAAAGTCCAATGTCGATGTGGTGGCTGGCTGGCCCGGTGGAGTGGGTGGGTCTCGGTTCCGACTGGCCGGATGATGGGACACTCCAGGTTCGGATCCCTGTCACGATCCAGACCGATCAAAATCCCAGGGGGTTTTCAGCTTGATCCCGGGGTGGCACATGCTGAGCGGCTGTCGGTGCATGACTGTTTACAGCCAGGACGTCAATAGTGCGGCTCAAATAGATCCATCAAATTTTAAGCCCCCCAATAGTGCATTTGAAACTGCATGAAAGAGAGCAGGCATTGATGCTTGATTAAAAAGTGGCAAAAAGTCCATCATGTTTTTGTTTTCTTGTCCTTTATCCTCCAGAGTTCCTCTCCGCGTCACTCATTTTTGGCCCTCTGTTTCGTAGTTCTTCTTGAACAATTACATTCGTTTTCAAACAACAACATCAACCTAACTACCTCGGGTAGTTGGACAGACGATATGAGGTCTTGGTTGCTCTTCACCAGCGCCGGCATCCTGGCCGGCGTGTCCAACGCGGCTTGTACCAACAAGTGCGGCTCCAACAAGTGCTTGGGTGCTATTGCTGCCGACCCTGCGTTCGGAGAGTCGTTCTGCTCTTCTTGGTTGGCCTTGGAACCCGCTACCACCACCGTCACCGAGGTCGAGACGGTCACATCGACTTTGCTCAATGTCGAGACGGCCTTAACGACACTCACTGTCACCACGGCAACATTTACAGTGTACGTGGTCTGCTTCCTCCAGTACATGAATACTTATCTTTTGCTCACACACATCCCCATGCAGGACTGGCAGCGAACGCTCGACCATCTACCAGAAGCGAGCTCCCACCATCACCGAAGCTGATCCAGCCTTGCCCGACCCGACAGATGTCATTGCCTCCCAGTGTTCGTCCAACGATGATCGCATCAGCAAGGCCTGCAGCTGCATTCTGTCAACCGCTACCGCGTCTACCGTGACCGTGTTTGAGACCGCTGTTTCTACTGCCGTTGTTGAGGCCGAGGTTCGTCGTGTTTCCGCCCCGTTGTTCTCTCTGGACGTCTGTTGACTTCCATGGTAATACAGAGCACCGTTGTTGAGACTGTCACGGACAATGTGGTGGCTACCGTCTCCGTCGCCGCCCCAGCCGTCACGATCCCCGCCAACATCATCGTCAACGGTGGGTTCGAGGACTACTTGAGGACCGGCAACATTCTCCCATGGACTGATACAAGGGATTCTACCGGCGGAAGGCTTGATGTCGTGAACGGCGTGAACCCGTGCATGTCGGGTGGCTCTTACTGTGCAGGCGGCCAAGTTGTCATCCGCCCCTACCCGCCTACCACCGGTTCCAAATACGTCGCCATACGCGAGACCTTCGTCGGACGCCCGTCAACCACTTATGCGTTCTCTTTCTTGTATCGCTGCCTCAACTATGACGCCGGCACCAGCATTGACATCCTGTACAAGGGCAGTGTCATCGGTAGCGTCAACCAATGTTACAACAGCGCTGCCTTTTACCGTCCCACCGGCATCACATTCACCACAGACGCCACGGGCCAGGGTGAGGTCGAGGTGCGCTTCCGCAACTCCGGCGCCACGCCGTATCTCTATTTCTACGCCGATGACTTCAAGGCCATTGCTGTGTAGACTGGGCAACGCATCAAGGATGGGTGGGGCGCAACAGCTGTTGGATGTTACCGTCCGGGGCATGGACAGTGGGATCTAGTATATATCGTCTGTTAATACTATATACATAATACATCTACTTCTTCCACACTGGGCGTCATGGCTCATGATCTGGACATGTTGGAATATATAAATGTATATCTGACGATCTGAACCAGAAGATCATGAAATACATGACGAATTCTCACAAGTCACGAAAATGGATGAAACTCGTAGGAAACCTGGAATTCATATCAACAAAGCCCTAAGAAAAACCAGCCAGAGAGCATGGAACCGGTGTCTGGGTCTTGCCAAAGTGGGATTCGCAATACAGTACCTTACCTCGACACAAACAACTATACTTCCGCCAAAAACGAACTATCACGAGTGACAGATTCTCAATGCCCAGATGCATAGATACAACATCCACGTTCTCAGACCCCTTTCCAATGTGTTGGTATGCCAGGGAGCCTCACCTCACAACAAGAATGATAAGAGCTGGGATAAGCTATTCAAGCTTGGACTGGGTCTTCTAGAAGCTCAGATAAGGTGGTCTGGGATAGAACCTAAGGTCATAAAAGCTCGGTCTGGATGCTATCAAGGCTCGGTAATATAATCAGTGCTATGGTGGGCTTGGGAGGTATTGCTCAATACCTGTATCTATCCTTCTTTAGGCACCTGTATCCCGCAGGCAAAGTACTGCATGAGTTATTTAAAATCAACTCTCTGGATTCCTAAACTCAACAGAAAAAGGCCGACGGCAGAGCAATCCACAGGAATGCGGGCGTAATTCATTGCTGGGAGAGGTCAAAGAAAGTATTTAATCCCATCGAGAGCCATAAATTTACGCAGCCGGTGTGCCAGCTGTTTACCAGCCTTATCCAAGGGAGGTCTCTAGCTTGAACTGCACCGAAATGCACCATTTGACTCTCGCCTCCCGCCAGCTTTCATACTGTGAGGCCCGCGCATTTAACCTTTCCCCACCAGCAGTTAAACACTCGACCTCAGCAAGTATATCAGGGAGTAGTCGTGGCCAACAATCAAAAGTGTACACTGGCACGACCAGGGTCATCAAGATCCGGGTCCCTCGTTGTAGCACAATCATCAGCATATGCCCCAATAGGTATGTTGGATAGCACGGTTTTGCTGGCGGAGTAACTGCTGGCACTTCACCATTCGAAACTATCGATATTGATGAGGTGAAGGAGTTTTACCTTTTGACACCCGAGGAGGACAAGGCGGCTCTGCTTCGGAGAGAATCCAAGCGCAGCTCTACAACCGTCTTTGTTGACCCTTTCATCAGATATGGGTTGATTACGGCCCAGGGGGATGAGGTTGACTACGCCGAGGTGAACATGCGGCTACACCGACGGTTGTCTGTTGCTGCTGCGCCGCAGCTGTAGCCATGAGAAGATTTTGAAGCAGAATTTTGGGCTTGGAGATGCCTTCGGTCTTGTATCAAGACGTAAAACAAGCTATTTGGAATGCTGTACTCCCCGTCTGTCGGTTGATGACGGCTGTGATTGTTGAGCTACCTTCCTTTCCGGGCCTAGCGTTACAAGTGGCTGTGTGGCTGGCCAGAATTTCGAACGCCCCCGCCCGTTTTTTTTTCTGGGCATTTGCTTGATTTTGGCCAAGCTTGCGCTATCAAAGCTTGTTTCGATTCGCCAAGCTGCGCCGCAACGATGTGATGTTCACTGCCGGGGGAGCGGAGGGATAGACTGAATTGGGAACCGACGACAAACCATCGTCACTGTAGGTTGCGATTCTACCGCCGGCCCAGGCCCTTGGCTCTGTTTGCTTGCTGACACAGCTACCCATTGACCGATCTAGAATGTAACACCCAGGTAACTCACGAGCAACACTGACGCCACAGAGACCCCTCCCCTCACGACAACGGCCCTCGGAATGACTTGATTCGGAATGATCTCGCCGGGGAGATACTGACCCCCATCTTATCACCGAGCCAGACCTCATGATGGTTGGGTCCCACCAAACCTGGCCGTTCCATGAAAGTAGGACACCAGCCAAAAACATGAGAAACATCCTCCCTGGTCCATCTTTTCCTTATCTGGTCTGGCGGTGCCTCTCCCCTTTGGCTGCCCTGCCCTTGTCAGGTCCAAGGCGCCCCCCTGACCTGATGTGCATGCTACTTCCACATCTGAGCCTTCTTTCCCTTTCGGCACACCGAGCCCTGCCCATTGACGACGGGTATTGGCGGGGGAGGCCATACACACATCCCAATCCACGTCCAAGTAGGTAGGTCGCACCAAGTCACAATCATCTGGCAAACCCGACAGAGAGAGGCGGGGAAGCAGCCAGTAGGAAAAATATATTACTTTTGAGATTCCGACCTCGTCAATCTATCTGCCTTTCTTATCACCCTCTCCGTCCTTTTGTCTTTTTTCCCCCTCCCCTCTCCCCGTCCCTTTGCGCAACCATCACGAGTAGGCGAAAAGGAACTCGCATCTGCCTCGCCAACATGGCCGCCTTTTTCAGAAAACGCGCCCTCGACGAGAAACACCCCGACTCCCCCCCTCCAGCAACCGCACCAGGCGCCCAAGATGTCAGCAGCAGCGAGGAAGCCGGCATGGTGGACGAGGGCGTGGAGGGCCCGGATGATTTGCATCGCGGGATGCGGCCTAGACAACTCAGTATGCCTCTCTTTCTCCTCCTGTGTTATCCTCCCAATTTTTTAGTGCTAACAAGTAATTCCCCAGACATGATGGCCATCGCAGGTGCAATTGGCACTGGTCTCATCATCGGCACTGGCACAGCACTAAAGTTTGGTCCCGGCTCCCTCCTCATCGGTTACGTCCTCATGGGCTTCGTCGTCTACGTCGTCATGGTCGCGCTCGGTGAAATGGGTGCTTGGCTGCCGCACAAAAAGTCGTTTTCTGGGTATGCGACGAGGTTTGTCGACCCGGCCATGGGGTTTGCGACGGGGTGGAATTACTTCTTTAAATACGTGATTGTGCTGCCGAATAATCTGACGGCGACGGGCATCATATTGCAGTATTGGGTCGAGGATCTGAATGTCAGTGTGTGGATTGTGGTGTTTGGGGTGGTGATTATACTGCTGAATGTGAGTGCTCGTCCTGGGACAGGAAGAGACATGAGAGAAAGACTGACACCGAGGCACAGCTGATCCACGTACGATTTTTTGGCGAAGCAGAATTTTGGATGTCGCTTGCTAAGGCGCTGGTAATCATTATGCTGATTCTGATGTGCTTCATTCTATCTTTGGGCGGCAGTCCCTCGGGGTTCAGATCAGGCTTTTGGTATTGGACCGACCCGGGGGCATTTGCTGAGTACAATGTGCGCTGGAAGGATGACTACTTCTACGTCCATGGCTCGACCGGCAGATTCTTGGGTGTCTGGGCTTGCATCGTGCAGGCAACCTTTGCGTATTTGGGCACTGAGCTGGTGGGTGTGGCCTTTGGCGAGACGCCTGACCCGAGAAAGAACGTGCCGAGGGCTGTGAACCAGACCTTGCTGAGAATCGTCTTCTTCTACGTCGCCGGTGTGCTGGTCCTCGGGATGGCCGTCCCGTACAACAGTCCCGAGTTGCTCAGGGCGACAAGGGAGAGGATTGGCGGATGTAAGTTGTGGCCCATATACGTGCTGAAATTGCCAAGCTGACCAGAAACAGTGGCCTCCCCTTTTACCGTTGCAGCTCAACGTGCCGGTGTGGCCAAGCTCGCCGATGCCGTCAACGGAATGCTGCTAGTCTTCACGATCAGTGCCGCCAACTCGGATATCTACCTCGCATCACGCACTGTTTGGGCCCTGGCCAAGGACAGACAAGCACCAGAGATTATGGAGCGCACCAACAAGCGTGGCGTACCCATTCCCGCAGTAGCCCTCTCCTCCATCTTTATTGCCCTCGGCTTCATGAACGCCACCAAGGATGCCGCGACAGTGTTTGGATACTTTGTCTCGCTCGTCACCGTCTTTGGCGCTCTGAACTGGGTCGCCGTGTTGGTTAGCTACATTTCCATGATCAGAGCCATGAAGGTGCAAGGCATCCCACGAGAGATCATGCCTTACCGCAACCCTCTCTTGCCATGGGGCTCCTACATTGCGCTCGGGGTTACCATCTTGGTTATTATCTTTAGCGGGTACTCGGCCTTCATCCCCCAGTTCCAGATCGACAAGTTTATGACGAGCTACATCGGCATTGTGGTGTATCTGGTGAACATTTTGGTATGGAAGTTGCTCAAGAAGACCAAGAGGGTGAGGCCGGAAGAAATGGATCTCTTGACTGGGAGGAGAGCGTAAGAGGACTGGGGTGAAAGGTGGGGAGGGGGACAGCTTGGGAGGTGATACCACATACTGCGATACATTTGCAATTCATGACTGCTTTTTTGGACAAAGACTGGCTCATTGACGTCCTCCTGCAAATTCAACCCAGAGAATGGCTCATTATTGAACCACAGGCTGACCAGGTTCAACAGGTCTTTTCTCGCGCGCAACATCATCTCTTCGTCTGTTTGCAATCGTCAGCCTCTTTCGGTCCTTTTTTCTTGCATAACTTACTAACCACTCCCCATTGACGGAGTTTTCGGGACTATGTTCCCCACGATCTGATCTCGACCCACCGGTTTTTTTTTTTTTGCTGACGACTCACCAAACAAGACGGCATCGCATAATCTGCCAAGCTGGGGTTTATTCGCGGACGGCACTGGTCCGGTACGCGGGACGGTAGAGAGCTGCATGGGGATGGATCTCGGTTGTCGCTTTTTTCGGTTGCGGCGCCGTCTTCCGCTTGTGCAAGTGTGTACGTGTGCGGGATAAATTACCCAAGAAGCGGGTATATCGTCATTCTTTTGTGTCTTGGTCGGCCGTTTTGAAGATCGGGTCCCAGATGGATCATGGAGGATGTAGTACCGAGAATGATCGGCGTTGCATTGCGGGTTGGGTGGACTTTTGTGGGGACGGGAATGGTTCAGATAAACAACGAACGGTTGTTGTCTGCTGCAAGGCATGAGGGAAACCAGGTTCATATTTCTTGTTGGCGGAGTGGTTGGCCGGCTGGTGCCGAGAATGATGTGGGCGGGAGGTATGGGCTGGATTGGCATAGGTGATGTTGATCAACAGTACTGGTAGACTTCCTATTGAGGAAGTTGGGCACGGGCGAGGCTTGGATGTTGAATCTGCGGCCCGTTGGAGCGGTAGATCTAATATCGAGGGTGATGCGAGTCGGTGAAATTGTGGGTGAGGTTGGCGGAGGGCCGACTGATGAGGATGGGTGTTGAGGAATCGAAAGGGATATAAAAGCTGCTATCGTCGTCTCTGTGCGAGGTTGAGCACGAGTAACTCAGCAGCCTCCCTCATCTAGACATCTCAACCGAGGAACCACCAACATGAAGTCTGTCTTTGTCGCCGCTGGCGTTCTCGCCCCCCTGGCTGCTGCCCACAGCATCTTCCAACAGGCTGGCAGTGGATCGATCGACTTCGGCACATCATGCACTCGCATGCCGGTATGAGCTTTTCCAATCCCCTAGCTGTGCCCCGGTGACTAACATCATCTATTAGCCCAACAACTCTCCCGTCACCAGCGTTGGCAGTTCTGATCTTGCCTGCAATGTCGGTGGTTCGCGCGGCGTTGCTGGCCTTTGCGAGGTGAGCGGTACGTTGATGTCTCTCATACCTTAGTGTTCCTGTTCCGAATGCTGATACTTCCATCCAGCCGGTGACTCCTTCTTCGTCGAGATGCACGCCCAGCCCAACGACCGCTCCTGCGCCAACGAGGCCATCGGCGGGAACCACTTCGGCCCCGTCATCGTCTACATGGCCAAGGTCAACGACGCCAAGACGGCCGATGGCGCCTCTGCCTCGTGGTTCAAGGTCGACGAGTTCGGCTACGACGCCGGCAGCAAGACCTGGGGCACCGACACCCTCAACAAGAACTGCGGCAAACGGACGTTCAAGATCCCCAGCAAGATCCCCGCTGGTGACTACCTCGTCAGAGCGGAGGCCATCGCTCTTCATACCGCCGGCTCGAGCGGTGGTGCGCAGTTCTACATGAGCTGCTACCAGGTTAGAGTTGCCAACAGCGGCAGCGGTCAGCTTCCTGCTGGTGTTAGGCTTCCGGGTGCTTACAGCGCTTCTGACCGTGAGTGAACTCTTCTCCTCTTGCGCTGTTTTCTCGCCTCATTCGTGCTGATGATTGATTGTGTTACAGCTGGTATTCTCATCAACATCTGGGGCGACTTTGGTACCTACAAGGTCCCCGGACCTGCCGTCATTGACCAGAGCTACTTCTAAGCTCCTTCCGTGAAAGGGGATACGGTGCAGACGGAATGAGGCAGGGGCCATGCTGGAAGCTCCGGTCTCCCTGCTGTTCGACTTTCGGTGGTGAATTTGCTCTTTCCTGTACATAGTTGATCGAGCTGTAAATACTCTAGAAAGCTCAAGGCTCTTTGTCGTTGTCAATAATTTGGCATGATGCCTCCTCGATTGCTGTCATTGTCATCGTCATTGTAAACCCTAACCCGTACCTGAATTGCGCTGAGATGGTGACGCAACTTGACCCACCTCTCATCCAAGTCGAGACTGCCATCTGAACTCATCAACTGAATCTGAACTGTTTCAGCCCCCAGAATCTGAAAATCTTGAGAAAGAGTGTCAATTAGCAGAAACAAAGTCAAAGACTTCTTCCAATTATCCATCATATTTACCAAGTATTCCGTTTGACTACCTTTCTTCATCTCATGCAGTTGCGGGGCATCATTCCTCGCCGCTCAGCCAGCCCCGCTTTGACTCGCCCTCTTATGGACTTGTTCATTCCCTCTCTCACCAACAACCTCATCCTCACCCCAAACAAGCACACCACCACCTTCACAGATCCTCACCATCATCATACCCACCACCACCGGCATTTGAACCTGCTTTTTCACCATCACTCTACCACGACCGCCCCTGCCAAACCCCGCCGCAACTCCTTCCCTCACATCCTCAAATCCAAAATGACGCAAACCCTCCACAAGAAGCAAGAACCAGCCATCACCTCGGTCACGGAACTTCCCACCTCAGAAGCCAGATGGGTGACTCTTCAAAAAATCGAGTACACCGACCAAACAGGCAAAGCACGCACATGGGAGGTCGCCTCCCGCAAGACTCGCTCCGCCAAGACAGGCGTCGACGCTGTAGCGATTGGCAACATCTTGCTTTCTCCCAACAAGGCCCCCTCCACACTGCTAGTGATCCAATACCGCCCCCCACTAGACGCTTACACTGTCGAGTGGCCTGCCGGTCTTATCGACGAGGATGAGACAGCCGAAGAGGCGGCAGTGAGGGAGTTCAAGGAGGAGACGGGGTACGAAGTGAGCAGGGTGCTGAGTGTCAGCCCGGTGCAGGCGGCTGATCCGGGCTTGTCGAATGCGAATATGCAGATGGCTATGGTAGAGGTGGAGGTGCCTGAACTGGAGGCGGGCTCGCTGCCGGAGCAGAGGTTGGAGGATGGGGAGCACATTGAGCGGGTGGTCGTCCCGCTGGCAGAGCTATATGAGAAGCTGGTGGAGTATAGCAAGAGGGAGAGGTTTATTGTGGCGGCCAAGTTGTTTCATTTTGCGGCGGGCATGGATTTTATGAAGACGCAAAAGTATGGGCTTTAATGAGGGACTGGCTTAGTTGAGCAGCAGCAGGCATGGAGTTGGCGGGCATCGGAGAAGACCTCCTACAAATGATAATACAACAAAGTCATGAATACCTTGCTGTGGTTCTCACAAGTGTGGTGTTTGGAATGGCCATTGCATGACAGGCGCCGACCCTAACCCTTTCCACATACTCAGAGGAACACAACACCACCATGTGATGGGGTGCCACAGCAGAAACAGGCACATGCAGGAACCGCGATACCCTCCTATAAAAGAAAACCAAGACTGAACACCGTCATGTGTCTGCCACTTGGCAGTCGCCAAGGATGCGTGATCGGATGACCAGTCATAAGTGGGCGGGACCGGAGACCACCCGCTCATCTTTCTGGCAGCGGCATTGCTGCGACACACAAAAAGCGATATTTGGCAAATGCGCAAACCGTTTCAAATGCAGTGGATGGCGCGCGGCGTTGGTCGATCCTGGGGCTGCAGAAAGGATCGCTCTGTCAGAGGCAAGACAGCGCAGCAGGCGCAAGCAAGCAAGCAGCGCGACACATTTAGCATAGGGCAGGGTGTATTTAAAGCAGAACAGGGGCGGGCAGTTGGCATGAGCTGGGGTAGAATCGGCAGTGTGAGTGTGAGCAACAAGTCTGGCTGACTGGCTGTGTTGAAGATCTAGTTGGGTGGGAGTGAATGTGGTTCGTCCTGCTAAAACAGCGGGAAACTAGGTAGGTAGCATGTTGAAGAAGATACGCGGATGGATGAAGAAGAATAGGGAGGGAGATAGATTGTGTGGTAGAGACAATGAATTTGAAGAAGATGAGTCCAAGAGGTAGGATAGATGAAAGAGAAATGTCTCCAAGAGCAAGACCAACGTCATGACATCAAAGTACATAAAGTGCTCTGTTGATGTTGACGAGGTTGAAAGTGGGTTTGTTGACTCTAAAAGAAGCTCAGGTTGGGTGGAGCAAATGGTGCACGGTTGCCATGGTGCCATTAGCGCATGCAGAGCAGAGGGAGAAGAGGAAGAGCCCACAGGTGCCAAGGAAAACACCCAGCCCCGGGACCAGGACTGGGAGAACGAGGAAGCATCCAACCTTCCCTCCCGCCCGCCGCCAACTCGACAACCGACGACATCGCAATCGCCAACCGAGACGACTTACGACGGAATCAGGTAGGTAAGTAGGTCGCGAAGTGCGATCACTCGATCAAGTCCACCGCCGGACTCTTCGACGCCCTTTCCGACTGTCCAAGACGCCCTTTTCCTGCCCGCGCGACCGTCGGGTAAGCTGCCTCTCGCTCTCTCTCTCTCTCTGCGTTCTGTCTCTCTCTCGCCTGTCACTCATCCCCCCGCGACCGCCTTCTCCTCCTCCGCCTCCACCTCCCGCAGATTACAACCTCAGTTGTTGACGTCGTCGCTCAACACCAGGAAAATACCCCCCCATCGCGGGAACTCACAGTCGGCCATGACCTGCCGCATTTTCGCATAACGCCTCGAGCCTTCCCGCTGCATTTTACGATAACGATCCACGACTTTCATATCTGCTTTCAGTTTCTGTTTTCGCTGCCAACTGTCCGACGTTCTTTCCGACCGCCTTTTCCCTAGAGTTAATTTATTCCCACAATCATCACATGCGAGATTCGTCCCTTTTGCGCATCACAGCCACTACATCTCGCAGTATCGCATAGCAAAAATTACGAAAAAACAGCAACCAACAAATAATTACAACAAAAATGTCGGAGTCACCATCATCCCCTCCAAGCGCCGAGGCCAACCCCCAGGATGCGCTCGCGTGGTACAAGTCGCAATACGAGCTGCTCGAGCAGGAACTATCGGAATTCCAAGCCTCAAGCAAAGAGCTAGAAGCCGAGCTCGAAAAGGACCTGGATGCTGCCGACAAGCGGGAAAGGGCTCTGCAGAAAAAGGCCGAGAGCCTGAGCTATGAGGTGGAGGAATGGAAGGTACTGATATCTCCTTATGAGCGCACTCGAGTGACGGTTTGGCTGACACGTCCTACCAGCGAAAATACAAGGAATCCAAATCCGAGGCAAATGCGGCGCAAAGCATTCTCGAGAAAGAGATCACCACCCTTCGCGAAACAAACCGGACCTTGCAGCTCAGACTACGGGACATCGAGGTAGCAAATGACGACTTTGAGCGACAGGCGCGCAACACCACGTCATCACTGGAGGATCTCGAGTCCAAGTACAATGTCGCCATCGAACGGGCTGTCTTGCTGGAGGAGGAGATCAAGATTGGGGAACAGGAAAGGGAACAGCTTCGGGTAGAGACTCAGCGGTTGAGGGAGGAGTTGTCGGATCTAAAGATCGAGGCCGAAATCTTGCAGCACAAGATCAAGAAGCAGGATGCCCGCCATTTATCGACACTCTCCACTGACCTCTCGCTCCCCGGCTCCCCGCCATTTGGCAGCTCACCTCACTCGACCGCAAGCTCACCAATGATCACCACCCCACCCGACACCAAGTCGCTATCCACCGCGGACACCTTGTCCGAACTTCAAGACCCACCATCACCCTCCATCTCGGAGATCTCTCAACTGTCCCGGTCACGACTCAGCGTCACAAAAGGTCCTACGTCCCAAAGGAAATCCCGATTGCCTTCTGCCGACAGCAGCATGGCATCTAAACCAAGGTCCGTTGGCGGTGCGTCTAGCTCTTCAACCCGGGGCAATCGTGTGGCGACTGCTTCCGCCGCATTGCGCACGCCTGCCCAGAGAAACTCGACTACCAGCAAGCCACCACCAAGCACGAGGGCGCATAAGATTCCGCCGTCCAATTCACTCACCCATATCCGGACGCTCACAGCACAAATGCAGCGTCTGGAAGCTCGTGTGCAGTCTGCCCGGTCCAAGCTCCCTGCAGGTTCGACGAGCACCCCACCACGGGGTTCACCAAGAACAGTTCCCACGGTACCATCTTCGGTCACAATACGCAGTAGGAAGCGTAACGCCGGTTCCACAGCATCGTCGACGATCAGCAACGGCGACGACAAACCAACGCCATCCAATTTCCGCAGCAGCCTTTCGAGTTCAACGGCGAATAAGCACGTCCCCCGACTTAGCACGTCGGGCGTCTCCCGATTGTCCTTTGGTCCGCTGCCCAACCGTAACCCTAACCACCAAGCCGATGCATCCGATATCCCACGGCCCAGCAGTCGAGCTAGCGTCTCGAGCTACGCACGGCCGGTTAGCAGACAGGAATTGCACGGCGGTGGTCCCTCGAGCGCCGCCATGCCACCTCCTAGGCCGATGAGCAGGGCCAGTCTCACGGGGTCCAGAACACCACTAAGTAGGCCGAGGAGTAGTCTGGGCATGCACAGTGGGAGGGAGTCGCATCATGGTCACAATCCAAGTCACAGCGTTAGTTACAGCACGCTGGAACTGGATGAGGGAGACACTGGGGAGTTCCGGACGCCTAGCAGACGGGGAACCTTTAGCAGGATGGACGAGGGTGGGTTCAGTGCCATTCCGGGACCAAGCGGGATTCCAGCACCGAGGAGGCAGAGCGGAGGATCGGGAAGCATCGGGCTGCGGAGGACTAGTAGT